GTCTAGGAGCCAAGGTTAGGGGGATGGTAGAAAACAGGGTGAACCCTTGTTCCTGGGGGGAGTGGGGCATAAGGAGAGGCCTATGGTACAGGCTGCTCCCTGTACTGCTGACCTGAGAATTGAAATTGCTTGTTCCCTAGGTTCTCAAATTCTGGTTCATGAATTACTTACACCAAAACGTATCATAAATGTACACATTATGGCTAACAAAACAATCGACTCAGACTGAAGCCCAGCAGCCCATGTTTTAATAAGCACTCAGAGGGTCACCCTTGGGACCACTGCTGTGAGAGCCAATGGGAAAGCAAGGCTGAGCACTACACAGATCTCAAAGAGTAAATTATTAAGCCAGGCTTACTGAGCTGCTTGCTCTGTTGTAGAGAACCATTTCACGGTGCTTAAAGTAAAAGTTAATTCTCTTCTGGAGGTGTGAGTGTCAAGTTGTTGGTTTCTACAGGCTCTCAAGCCCATTTTTCTGTTGCCCTAGCTGTCCGGACTGTCCTTATCTCTTGGCTCATGAACCTCCGTCTTTTTCTCCAGGAGCAGGCAGCACCTCCAGACCTCTCATCACCACAGAGGCTCCTCCCAGCTCTATTGCTTCCCACTTACAAGGGCCTGGTCAGAAGGATTTTCCCATTCAAAACCCTTAATCACACCAGCAAATTCCCCTGGACGTTAACAAAAGTTAACTCCGTGGCAATGTGTGGACATCTTTGTGAGGCTGCTACTCTGCTCTACTACAGGGAGTGACGGGAGCGCACACTGTGCCCAAGATGGTCAGCTTTGCATTACTGTGAGACACCCAAGACTAACACTGTGGCTCATGGTCCAGGGGCACTTGTTTTGTTGCTTTGAGCCTGTGTTGGAAGCTGCTTACTTACCTGAGGGCTAGAAACACACAGAAGGCATATCGGCCCCAACAGACTCTTCAGGGGTAAGTCCCCACGACTAACTTCTTCCCACAGTGCCCCTCCTCCTTTGTTTCCAAAATCTACTTTTTATATTATTTTGAGCTTTGCCCCAGGCAAATCAATGGCCTCTTATGCAATGTGAACCCACACACAACGGGAAATAAAGGGAGTAAGACTGAGGCACTGTTACGGCTTCATGCCATGTCAGTAAGTGATCCCCTGGAGCAAAATCATTTCAATGTGGCTTGGGTCGTCAGGCAAGAAGAAACAGAGCTTGGCCCGAATAAGAATGAGCAAGTCAACAGATGAGGGGCCAAACTCAACCTCTGGAAGTGTATTAAGTGTGCACAAAATTACATGCTGTCTTCTTAAGTAGGAATAAATAGGTTATCTGCTTTGAACAAATAAAAGGGTGTCACACATGCCCCAATGTTAGTTGTTGTTGACTGTTAAACCATAACTAAGGTATCAGAGAGCAAAGTTCTGGGAACCTAGACTGCCTTAGAAGCCTTGCATGCAGCTGAAGCGGCAGTAATGTGTAGTAGGTATAATATGGGAGCATATAATATGTAGTAAGAATAACATGGGGGTATATAATATGTAGTATATGTAACATGTATAATTTGTAGTATTATGATATGGTGGTATATAATATGTGGTATATATATAACATGGGGTATACAACATGTGGTATATATAATATGGTGGTGTATAAATGTAGTACGTATAATATGGGAGTATGTAATATGTAGTATGTATAATATGGGGGTATTTCTCCATTTGTTATGTTCCATAAGACATTTTCCATCTTTTCATCCCCTCTTCCTGCATGACTTCCAGTGCAGGCCCCCCGTCCTGAGATATTTCGAAGGTCATTTATGCATGCTCTATAGCCCCTCAATGGGCTCTTCACGTATCACGTTTCCAGTCTGTATTGTGCATTCAGGAAACTTCAGCCTGAGTACCAGGCCACAGGCTGACCAGCTATTCCCGACAGAGCAAACAGGTTCAAGTGTGAACATGCTTTCCGTTTTTCATTTGCAAATCTGTGATTACTGTTCATTCCAGGCAATCTGGCCTTTTCAGAGGCAGCCGGGCTCACACTGGCAGCATGATTGCCAAGTACATAATACATCATTGTGCACGGCATGTGTCTGAGGGAGGGCGAGGCAGACAAAGCAAGCCACGGGCCTGCCCCCAAGAAACAGCCAAGTAGAGACCCCTGACAGACAGACACCCAGAAATGAAAGTCCACAGCAAAGGCGTAAGGAAGGACTCATGTAGATGCCATTGATTCTTGGAGAGTCACAGAAAGCAAGAGAGTGCTGTCCAACTGCGTTGTCTTGGATATAAGAGTTTGCACTGGGGAATAACCACCTACCAAGGCACAGAAAGAGTACGTGGTATGAAGTATACAGACAATCCGAACGAACAGGCCAAGGTATCCGGATGGGACACACTTTCTGATTGGGAGGGCAGTATCCAGGCAGAGAAGGCAGGTCTGGCTTACCAAAACCCCTGCTGAGACGGTATGCATCTAGTTCTTCTGTAGGCCACAGGAGACCTTGCAGGAAGCTGTGTTCCCAGCTCAGGTCTCCTTAGGGGTGTATCCATGGGTTCTGCAGAGGGAGCAACTGAGCAGCCTTGACAGGCAGTTCTTCTGCAGGGGGATTCAACACACTACACACATGTGCCCTCATGTTTGGCTGCTAGTCTTCCTCTGCCTCCGTTCCTCAGGCCTGCGAGGTTCTGTGTTAAATAATCATCAAAATACTTCTGTGGATAGAGGCAGCTACGTTGCTAGGAGCTTATTTTGCCCTTTAAGCAGGGTGGCTTAAAGGTGGCTTCATCCTGGCACCCCATCTCCCATCTTCCACTGGTCTACACCAGCCACGCTCAGGATCTTACACATGGTGCGGACTGTCTATAAAGCGTAAGTATGCCTGAGAAATCCAGTGTTCCCCAAATCATTTCAGTTATTCAACATCCAAGGTGAAATAACTACAGAACACTTCATTAAACTTCTTTTTTAAAAAATTGTTTATTTGTTATAAAACATTAAATACTAAAGCTAAAAACATATAAATTCAGGTCAGGCTATATTAAAATACATACATACCCTTTGCAAAATCTGATTAAAAGTTGAATTAAACAGATGCTTTAAATAAAATAAAGTAATTTTGAAAACATTTTAAACCTAATTGGCTATATCAGTGTAGTGTTATTTGTAAAATTACAGTTGAAAGTTTGGCCATCTTGGAAGTCAAATTCATCTGATTCCTCAGCCTTCCAGTATTCAGTACGAAGCCCAAGTATGGTTTATACAGGGGTGGGTTTCAGTCACCGTACCAGTGCTCTCTATTAGAAATCTAGTCCCCTGTAGTAGGACAGGGAGGAAGTAGCCAGGAGCTACAAAGAATGCACATAAGATGCAATCTGGTCCTGAAAGAGGCCTCAGCTCTACTACACAGTGTGCTCTCTAGCTAAAATGCTCGGTAAATATACTGAACAGAAATTGTGCAACAAAGCATACAGTCATCTAGAAAGAACCCTTCGATTAGAAAACAACCCTGAAACCAGCACTATTTTAGCCATGATCATTTTAAGCATTTGAAAATTTTCATCACCTCCAATTGAGTGGATTCGATGGTGCTGAGGGGTCTGTATTCAAGCGTGCTTAAGAACTCATTTATACTCTGACACACCGCTGCCCCAGTCACTTTCACAGGCAGTGAAGAACTTTCAGAATAAACACTCCAGACCACCCATTTCCAAACTCAACTCCTACTCAAGACAAACACCCTAGAGGAATCAGTTATGATCTATTTAAAGGTTAAAATAGTATTTTCGGGAAAACGCTTTTTCAACTCCTATTTTTCCTTTTAGGAAAAATAGTTTTAGTTTAGAATTTTAAATGCTGTGCTTAGCACAGAGGGCAAGCATATGCTTCTGAGTATTAAAAGGCTACCATTTGATCTAAAACTGCAAAGGAATTCTAGGTACTGCTACACTCTGTTCTTTACAATGCTAAGCCACCAAATGGGATGTGCCAATAGTTGTGTAACTCAAGTGATTAAAATACAAAAACAAAAGTCATCCCAGTAATCTTCACTGACACAGCACAATTACTATGAGCTTTCTTGGGATTCTAGCTACAGGACTTTTTTCCCCGTTATTTTAACAGTACTGGATAAAAGGGCTTTCTGCATGTAATCCTAACACTACAGGGTAAGACTGTCAAATCAAACTTTTGAAAAGTTGGGGAAAAATGCATACTAAAATCACTGGAAATCAGAACAGTATATCCCAGTACTAAATTCCAGATGCCCACAGTGCTAACACTAAACACTGATCCGTTCTTCCTTGCCTACGCTTCTGTGTGTCCTGTAGACTCATTTCTGCAGACATGTGATATGAGAGAACTAATTCGGCTTCCCAGCCACCTGTCTCTGCACCTAGCAGGCCTTTGATTACATCCTGTCTTTTACCTTCCTAGATGGCTTTGCTATTTCACACCAGATGTCCTTTCAGTCCTTGGGGAGAACTCAGTGCAAGTCACCGACATCCTCATCTTAACAGATACAGTTAAAAGAAAGAATTCTTAGGCTTTTGTGGCCAAGTCTCTACAAGGCATCTTTCCCTGTGATTCTCTATGTATTATAGTCAGGCTACCCAGTCACTCCTATAAACTTCCTGGCTTTACATATTGATTAGGTTTTTGCTCTTCTGGGATAGAGCCAGAAGTGAGCGAGTGTCCCAAAGCCAACAAGAAGCATGTCTCACTGTTAGGAGAGGTCACTGTGGAGGTACTAGGTGCCAGCCCCCCAGAGGTGGGAATCTCCACGCTGCTCTCCTGGCGTCTGCTCTTCTGTTTCTTACTCTTTGGAGTGATGTTTGAACAAGAAAAAAACATTTTCAGCCAGGCATGTGGCAGCACTCCGGAGGCAAAGGTGGGCATTCCCCATCCCCCCAAATTCCAGCTATACCTGGCTTTTGCATGCCCCTTATTTTAGCAGAGCAATCAGTCAGACATAATAAAAATTTTGTATGCAGCCTAGACGATTTTTTTGAAATGAAACATCTCTTAACTAGGAGAGGTCTTAGTGTTATTAAAGCAATGGGGCAACCTAGAGGAGAAGCCACTGTCCAACCATCTTATATTCTCAGGGAAGCATTAAAGTCTGTAGACAGTGCTCCCTTTTAAGGCCACCACAGTCCTTCAAAGACAGGTAATAAGAAGCTGTATGGTGACTTTTGAAAATTCCATACTAATTTAGTTATAAGAATTTTACTGGAACCCAGAGGTACCCATTCTTCATAATAATAAAAAAGTGTATGTATATAAAAGCTCAGGTCACATGACTGAACATCGACATTTCCGGGAGTGGACGTACTTCCTGTACTCCGCCAGCTGCTTCAGGTACATGTTTGATGGCCATCTGTGCTTCTCAACAAAACTTCGTTCTTCCACTAAAATTGTAAGGAGAAAAACGTTAATTGCATGTGTCAAGATGAAATACAAACGTTTGACCACTATGTGACAGGGCAGGTCACTCTGTTATATCCCGCATCCTTCCCGCAACCTTCCCCAATCACTTAGAATTTGGATAAAAGAAGCCATCAGGATTTACACTATTATGTAATTTATGATGACATGTGCTGTTCCACCAAGTAGTATTGAAAGGGGTAAATTAAACTCAAAGGCTTCACTTCTAATAATTTAGAAATAAAGGGGCCAGACCCTCACTCAGCCCCCTGCTTAAGTAGCCATGACAGGCTACAGAAAAGACAAGTAGGCCTCGGCCACAAGGAAACTCCAGATCCTCTGGCCTCCCGGAGACTAGAGCCAAAACTGAACACAAACAAACTCCAGACCCTCCCCCCTCCCAGCCTCCTAGATGCTTGGTTCCTGAGAACTGTTTGGCCCCAAAGAAACTCTAGGAGAGACCAAAACCTCCCCTGCAGTCTCCAGGATATAATTCTGAAAACTATCGGTATCTATAAACAACAGGCCACCTGCAAGTAACAAGACAATGCCATAGGAACCACAGTATGTTCCCTCTCAGCACTGACCAATGAAAATAATTGGTACACAGGTATTTCATGCCAAAATATGACTTTGAGAAATGCTCATAATTGTTCCCAAATATCAACCAATCAGAAACCAATTCCTACCTACTGATGTAATCCTGTAACTTTTGTCTATAAAACCTAGCAGTAGACAGGGAACTTCACTCCCTCTGGGGGCTGCTGTGTCAGCTTGCTAGACAGGGTCCCTGTCATGGTTGGATGAACAATCATTAAACCTTGCTTTTGCAGTTTGGTGGGTCTGTCTTCCTGGTGGTCTCTGGGGACTTTGCAACTTGGGCACAACAATATTTGACTATTTTCAATAAAACTTTTGTTTTTACTGGAGGTAACAAATTCATTTTTTGCTTGTGAATAACTTGACCTTTCAAATTCTGTAAGGTCTTCCTGACTCAACTTCCCATGTAGTGACAGTCACCAGCTAAACTATTCATTCCTGATGTTATTGCCCGTGCTCCAGTGGCTGCCGTGCTGTGTAAGTCCCTGGGCTTTAGGTTTGCTCCTCCAACCTCTTGGGACACTGTGCACTCTGGACCCACCTCACCCCAAGCTTAGCTACACCCATAGTCTACGAACCTATGACTCGTTGGGTTAGGATTTTTTGCCTTCCCATTTCCTGTAAAGTTGCCTCCACTGATTGGAGGGAGGTCTACCAAAGCTCTTTAGTCAACATTTATGAATCCCACTGTTGAGGCCCCAGGCTTCACCCTGCCTCTGGCACGCCTAGTACTTTAAACATTTAAGGGTTAGGGACCACTCCCTCCCCTATGTACTTGCATCTCATACTTAGTGCGATTTCTCAACTGGCTGTTTAACTTCATGGGCGTGTGTATTAACAAAATCCTGGTTGCAGGAACTAAGCGACAGTTTGAAAAAAGCTACCTGCTCAGGGAAATCAGTTGTTTCAGGAGGAAGCAAAGGTGACTGGGGTGGGTTCTTAAAAACAGACTCCAAACTGGGCGTGGTGGTGCACGCCTTTAATCTCAGCATGTGGGAGGGAGAGGAAGGTGGATTTTTGTGAGTTTGAGGCCAGCCTGGTCAACACAGAGAATTCTAGGACAGTCAGGGCTACAGAGTGAGACTCTATCTCAAAAGAAAATAAAAATACAGAACTCCAGAAAAAAGTGATAACAGATGAGCTCTAGCAGCCAGTAAAAACAGAAACCAAATAATTTATCCAAAAAAACCCATAATACTCAGCTAAATTAAACCACTCACGAGAAAAGGGAATCCACAAACACCAAGAGTCAAATTTTCCTGTGTGTTCCTGTTTGTATTCTTTTGTTTTCTTAAATATTTATTTATTTATTATACAGTGCTCTGCATGCTTGTCAGAAGAGGACACCAGATCGCATCATAGATGGTTGTGAGCCACCATGTAGTTGCTGGGAATTGAACTCAGGACCTTTGGAAGAGCAGTCGTGTTCTTAACCTCTGAGCCATCTCTCCAGCCCCTGTTTGTATTAAGACTAATGTGTACAAACCTAAGGCAAAAGGAGCTACTTAGCTGGGCTGGAAGGCTTGCCATGACATGAGATCTTCCCATTCTTGCTTTCTGATTTCTAAATAACTTTATAGAATAAAAATTTCACCAGGCACTTGGGAGGCAGAGGCCGGAAGGTTAGGATTCAAACCTTGGCTATAAAGTGAAGCATGAGCCAACCCAAGACACACATACCCCGTTTTCAGAAGAGAAAAATAAAAAAAGAAAAGGAATGCTGTCAAGAGAAAACAGTTGATACAGTTATAGCAATATTTGGACTTCCAAATCCCAGCCGGTGGAAGGGGACTAGATACAAACAGAAGGAGAGAAGCCTCCAGCCCTTTGGAGGAACATGTCCCCTTTGCTGGAAATGTACGTATGTACCCTTTAGTGGGCAGTCACTGCCTAGCTCCAGGATTTCCAGAAAGGTAAACGCAGGGTGCCAAAACCTATCAGACTTTGTCCTGGAGATATTAAATGGAAGTCTGTATAAAAAGTTCTATATAAATGGTGGTTGAAAATATAAACCCTGGTAGACTTGACTGGAATCAGAGGTTGGCAGTTCATAACTACTGATTTAGTGTATTTCATAATTCTCTGTTACCTAGAGGGTTTTTCCTCTGTGAAGCAGACCATACCACAGGTGCCAAAGACATGAACTCTCAGTTTCCACCCAAACACAAAAATGATCCCTGGTGTCTTATATGACCCCTCAGAAGACTTCCTGCACCTATGATTTGCACATTATATAGGCAATTGTATAAGTAATGGCTAATAACACTAATAATAGAAATTATCTATACAGCCTTTCTCCCAAGGCTGTAATTACACTCCAGGTAGATCATACCTCCATATAAGAGTGGAGAGAAAATAACTTATTCTTTTACAACGGTGGTTACCTAGGGTGGCACAGTTACAGTAGCTCTAGGGCCAAAATTAACGTCTGAAGGAAGCGGCCTAAGCCCTTCGGACCTGGCGCAGGCAGGGCACACCTTCTCTTTATGAATAAGCTCAGCTTTCTTTTCTTGCAAAATGTAGAGTGAATGCTACCTGCTGTTGGCCTTGCTTTGACTATATTATACTACTGCCTTGATAGCTGAGTGCCACGCTAGGGGACAGGCTGACAACAGACACACTGTTAACTGGCTGCATCTGCCAAAAACATCTGTCAAAAACCGACTGTAAGAACCCTGGATCCCACGGTTCTATGACAGTGTGTGGAGCAGGAGGCTGGGGAGCCTTTACGTCTTGTCACTGGCACTAAGACAGGACACTAAAGGCGAGGAGCTATAGGTTCAGCCTCTTCATTCTCTGGTGTAGCTTCCCTGCAGGGACCCCACTCACCTCTACATGCTACCCCAGCAGGCCTCAGACGCCTCCAGGGAGAGCTTTGGCCCTGACAGGCATTCTCTCACATCCTCGCCCATTACTCACTTTTGCTCTGCAGCAACGCTGTCGTCTGGCTGCCTACTCTGAGACACTCCGCCTTTGTCTGCTGTGCTGTCACGCAGTTCCAGGAATCTCACCCTGTCACTGCTGGCTATTTAGCCACGACTGTCCTTGGACTTAGGCTCCTATCTCCTCTGCCTTCCAAGTGCAGGGTTATAAACTGCACCCCTCATTTTAATCCTTATCATTCACCTTAAAAATTACAGTGTAATTACTTCCAATTGGCAAGACACAAAATATTTGATCCTCTAAGTATTAAAGATGACAAATTATAAATAATAAACAATCTTGTATTTCTATGAAAGGAAAAAAGTTCAAACATACCATACTGTTTAAATCTTCTCCTAACTAAGTAGCTAAAACTAAGGTCTCATTTATCACAGCTAAGTGGATCCTGAGGACACATTTCGCCACCCTAGTCTCCCACCAGAAAAAAAAAACAATTAAAAATGAATGAGTATTATAAAATCATTAGAAAACTGTGTAACAAAGGTCAGGTCGCTTATGCAACACAAGTGACTGTCAGTGAACCTGTCCTCAATTACACAGCAGAACTGAAGGGAAATATATAACGTCACATTTATGCTGTTATGCTAAAGCAACTTTTTTTCATTAGTTATACCTCAAACCTCAAACCAAGGTCATAACATTTTCTTTTCGAAGCAGAAATCAGCAGTCTACCTGAAAGATCTTGAAATTCAGGCTTTTGGCTGAATATGAGGTAGTTAGTGGCAATGAAATGAAGCAGCCATGTTGAAAGGCAGTCAGAATGGTGAAACTGCAAGAAGACGGAAAGGGAAACATGTCATACATCCGTTCTGATCAGCCTGAGACAGTGGTCTGGGAGAAACCAGCGTTCATACCTGCGGGTATGTGTCTGCAATGCTGCCGTCTTTGGGGACAGGGACAGGAGCGGAGTGCTATCACCAATACTGACGAGGTGGCTCATCCAGCAAAGCCGCCAGGTCACCACAGCTGAGCCAGTATGCCAGAGCAACAGGGCTGCGCCTGCGCCCAGTGAACACTGAGGTTCTTAATGCTTCAGGGTTAACTTTCACTACATGCTCACATCTCCGTCAGAGCCGAGCCTTTGCTCCTAGGATCTCTGCCCACGGAGCTGGCTTGTCTTCACAGTCTTCCGCTGAGTTCCGCGAGCTGCTAACCGAGGGAGACTGAGAAGGCTCTGGCTGCTAACACACTCTCCTGGGGTCACCCCAGACATGCACCAGTCTGGACTGTAGTAACTTGATGACAGGCAACTTGGGTAGAGCTCTCTGTCACGGTCACTGCAGTGTACTCTTAGACTTCCTATTTTATGTAGACGGTTTACTGGCACTAAGTACATTCATATGACAGCACCATTACCCATTTCCAGATGACTCCATCGAAAATAAAACCTATTTGTTTAATACAAATAACTCCCTTTAGCTCCTGGGAGCCTGGGTTGTATGCTTTACTTTCTGTCACCAGAACTCTGACTACAGTAGGTGCCTGATATAAGAGAAATCATGTAATACCTGTCCTTTATCATATTTCATCTAACATAGCTTGTTCCAAAGGTCATCCACGTTGTTATTTATATAAAAGCGCCATTCCTTTTAAAGGCAGAGTAACATTCCATGTACATACATGCCATATTAGGGTTATCCATCCTTCCTCAGATGGTAGGATGTTTCTCTTTTAAGAACACTTAAAAATTACATAAGCAATAAACAATGCTAAATTGGAGAGAGTCTTAATTTCATATCTTACATAACTAACCCAAGGATGAAATACCCAAAGTTGTATTTTAAATTAAAATAACATTTTGATATATATATATTCACAGTTACCTACCAGAAGCTGTGAACTGGAAGAGACTTCATAGTCAAATTTCATATCATATTTGGGTAATGTCTTCTCTATCTTTTAGCGGATGAAAACAAGTCATGTCAAGGCATAAAGTCTGAGGAAAGCGTACATCTCTGGTGTGGTAGGTGACAGAATGTATGATGGGACACCTTGATGAAAATACAGGGTCCACTAGAGACCAGAGCAAGGACAGAGAAGTGAGGGACACTGAAACTGCTCACCTCCAAGAGAAGACACCAGTGATACGGCCCAGATGACAACAGAGTCATGGAAATTGGGATGTGGAGAACTACTAGGGAGCTTAACCCTGCCAACGACAGAGAACCAGGGAGGACATACCGAATTCTGACCAAAGAGGCAATCTCAAACCTTCTGAGAGGAAGCTGGTGCTTTGTTTCTATATGAAACATCTGTGACAACCAAAATGTAAACAGAGACGGTTTGTTTGGCTCATGGTTCTGTAAGTTTCCATCCAGAACTGGTTAGCCTCTCTCCTTCGGACATACAGTAGCAGAAAAAGGCAAGCATACATGGTACCCCAGAGAAGGAGAATGAGGCAAGATCTCCTGAGGGGATTGGGAGAATGGGGGGAGTGGAGGGGGAAGAGAGGGAGAGAAGAGGAGGGAGGAGGAGGAGGACATGGGGGAGCAGGAAGGTTGAGTCAGGGGAAGAATAGGGAAGAGCAGGATGAGAGATACCATAATGGAGGGAGTCATTCTAGGTTTGAGGAGAGATCTGGCACTAGTGAGATTTCCAGAGAAGATTCTACAAGGATGACACCAACTGGCAAACTAAGCAATAGTGGAGAGGCTACCTTAAATGCCATTCCCTGATAATGAGATTGAGGACTACCTTGTATGCCATTCTAGAGCCTTCATCCAGTGGCTGGTGGAAACAGAGGTGAAGACCCACAGCTAAACACTGAACTGAACTCCTGGAACCCAGTGACAGAGAGGGAGGAGTGATGAACAAAGGGGTCAAGACTGGGCTGGTGAATCCCACACAGACAGCGGACCTGACAAGGAGGAGATCTTGGACCCCAGACTGATGGCTGAGAAGTCAGCATGGGACTGATCCAGACTCCCTGAATGTGGTTGTCAGTGAGGAGACCTCTGCAATCTCTGGGGCCTTGGGTATTTATCATGGCGTACGAATGGACTTTGGGAGCCCATTCCACATAGAGGGATGCTCTCTCAGCCTGGACAGATGAGGGAGGGACTAGGCCCTGCCCTGGATGAAATGACAGACTCTGCAGATACCCCATGGAGGGCCTCAGCCTCCCTGGGGAATTGCGTGGGGATTGGGTGGGGGCTGGTTGGGTTGGGGGAGGGGCAAGGGAGGAGGGGAGGGAGAGGGAACTGGGATTGACGTGTGAAGCAATCTTGTTTCTAATTTAAATAAAAAATATATTAGAAAAAAGGCAAGCATACTACAGAGAGCAGAACTGATTGCCTCATGGCTGGTGAGAAAAGGAGAAAAGGGAGGGAAGGGGTTTCCTACAATCCCCTGCAAGGGCACAATCATAATGGTATGAAGATCAGAGGCAGGCATATGAGCACACACACACACTACAGACACTACAGACATATACACACTACACACACATACACACACTACACACTACAGACACACACACACTACAGACATACACACTTAGTAGTAAAAATTATTTCTTCAAAGGTTTTAAGAAACAAAACTGGGGTTAGCGAGATGACTTAGGGGTTAGGAGCAGTAGTTGCTCTTGCAGAGGACCCAGGTCTGGTCCCCAGCACCCACGTGGCCACTTATAAGCCCCTGTAACTGTAGTACCAGGGCACCCGAAACCTTCTTCGGCCTTAGTGAGCACCGGACATACATGTGGTACACAGAGACATATGCAGACATCACCCATCCACATAAATTATAAAATAAAATAAATTTGTTTAAGTTTGAAAAGAAACAATACAACTTAAGAGTAGATCTGTTACACTTTTTAAATTCAGAAGGGAAAAACACTACGGAGAGTCAGAAGCTGGGACTGGGGTTGACAAATGAGAAGAATCTGCTGATAGAGAAGTAAAGGCATGTGCAGTTGCGGAAGGTGCCTTAACTGGTAAGAAGTGACCACACGTGGCTACACACAGACAGGGCTCTATAGCACAAGAGACCCCTTGGCAGGGTGTGGCCCCAGCTGCAGCAGCGTATAACCGGCGGGGCCCATGCTCAGGATCCCCGCACTCCAGAGGAAGAGGCAGGATGGCTGTTCAAGACCATCCTTTGCTACACTGCAAATCTGGGGATTGCCTGGGGTAAGTGAGACCCTGTTTCTAAATAAGGAAAATAAAGGAATTCAGGGTGTAAACGTGCTAACAAGAGGGAAACTTGTGCAAGGTTAATGTGTAAGTGTATCAGAGAAAGATAAGGCTACTCGATTCTCAAAGCTTGTTTTTAATTGGAAGACTTGATTATGCAGAAATGAAGTACAAAACAGAAAGTTAAAAATGCTCAGATGCTTTGAACTCATTTCCTTCTCTCTCTCTCTCTCTCTCTCTCTCATATATATATATATATATGGGTTAAGAAGGTCGCTTCAGCCTGCAGACAAGCTTTCAGCTGTCCAGAGTTCTCTCTGTACCATTGCACGGCTCCAGTTCAGCCTGCATGAAGACGAAGCCACCAAGCTTGTCAGCTCTGTGTGGAAAGACGTGTGGGGAAGTCAGACGTGACTTTCAGATATCCCACTCTAGAGCGACAGGTCAAAGATCACCTGTGGGGAGGACCTAGAAGGCTCAGCCTATGCAGAGCACACTCAGTAACATTTATGATGAGCTTTGGCAGTGGGGAAAGGGGCTCAGAACCAGTCTGCTGTCACGAGCAAAGGAGGCTGGGTATGATAGTGTGCCCGGACAGAGTTCAACACATAATCCTAGCTTCTTTACAGACCTGGTCCTGTCCTCTTTCATATCCAAGGGTCTTTAAAACTTAACTTTTATACATGTGTGCGCACACACACGTATGTATATATACACATATATGAGTGTTCTACCTGCATGTATGTGTGTGTATATATAATATATATATGTATATATATATATATATATTATATGTGCCCACACACATGTATGTACATATACACATAAGGTAGAATCTGGGAGATGCCAGCAGCCACCGGGAAAGCAAGACGTGAGATAACAAGACACGAGCCTCTTGGTAAAATGCAGACTAATAGAATGGGTTAATTTAAAGTATAAGCGCTGATTTTAGGCCAAACCATTTGTAACTAACATTAAGCCCCTGAGTGGTTATTTTAAAAGTGGCCGTGGGACTGGGTGGGATGAGAAACCTCCAGCTACACCTAACCAGACAGGACAGCAAACTCAGCCAGTGTCACCTAACCAGACAGGACAGCAGACTCAGCCAGTGTCACCTAACCAGACAGGACAGCAGACTCAACCAGTGTCACCTAACCAGACAGGACAGCAGACTCAACCAGTGTCACCTAACCAGACAGGACAGCAGACTCAACCAGTGTCACCTAACCAGACAGGACAGCAGACTCAGCCAGTGTCACCTAACCAGACAGGACAGCAGACTCAACCAGTGTCACCTAACCAGACAGGACAGCAGACTCAACCAGTGTCACCTAACCAGACAGGACAGCAGACTCAACCAGTGTCACCTAACCAGACAGGACAGCAGACTCAACCAGTGTCACCTAACCAGACAGGACAGCAGACTCAACCAGTGTCACCTAACCAGACAGGACAGCAGACTCAACCAGTGTCACCTAACCAGACAGGACAGCAGACTCAGCCAGTGTCACCTAACCAGACAGGACAGCAGACTCAACCAGTGTCACCTAACCAGACAGGACAGCAGACTCAACCAGTGTCACCTAACCAGACAGGACAGCAGACTCAACCAGTGTCACCTAACCAGACAGGACAGCAGACTCAGCCAGTGTCACCTAACCAGACAGGACAGCAGACTCAACCAGTGTCACCTAACCAGACAGGACAGCAGACTCAACCAGTGTCACCTAACCAGACAGGACAGCAGACTCAGCCAGTGTCACCTAACCAGACAGGACAGCAGACTCAACCAGTGTCACCTAACCAGACAGGACAGCAGACTCAACCAGTGTCACCGAGAGATTTGAAAACATGCTCATGAAATGAGTGAATGAATGAGGAAGTAAATAGTTCCCATAACCATGCCATCCACATACACAGACTAATCCTGCCACTTTCCTTAGTGCTAAGAAATGATCTTTTGGGAGGAAAATTCAATTTCCTGTAATGCTAATGTTCAGAGCACAGCCACAAGTAACTGGGATTATGACCATTACTGAAAAAAATTACGTAGACATGATTTCTTTTTTTTGTTTTTTTTGTGATTATATATTCAATTCATTTTAATAGATTTATATATATATATATATATATATATATATACTTAATCTCGTAGACATGATTTCTAACGCAGTGAATGCTTCAGAATTACTTCATCATAAAAACTGGTGCACAGAACCTAGAGCTTCCTGCAATCAAACCTTCAAAGGAATTCTAGTCTTGACATAGCTGTTAAAGCACAGAAAACAAACGAGTATATGTGTATTTTAAACCCAAAGAGGCCCCCTACATCTATCCTCCCCCCTTCCCCTACACACAGGGCTAACCACCTTGGCCTTTTTGAGCAGGTCCACGATGTCGAGGTTCATGGAGGCCAGCTCTCTGCTGGGCATGCTCTGCAACTGCGTGATGATGAAGAGCTCACAGATATGCTGTAGCCTGGAGACTTGGTACATCTCAGCACAGATCAAGAGACACATGGCCTGGAGAATGCCAGCTGGGAGGAGGAAGGGAGGGAAGATGGATCAGGACAGCATGGGCTAGGGTAGATGAGCTGGGGGTGGTTGGTGCACACTTTACTCCCTGAACTTGGGAGGCTGAGGCAGTGGTACTCTGTGAGGCTGAAGGAAGTCTAATCACACACTGAGTTCCCGCTCAGTGAGCGCTACAGCAGCAGCATCAAAACTCCCAATCAACACGCGTGCATGCACTCGCTCAGGCAGTTATCTTCAGTGTGTACTAGAATTCCTAGATAGAGTGCCATCTTCACAGTCCTAACGTGTACTATATTTTATAAATAACCTATTTAAGTTTTCGTACTCCAAAGAGAATCCCATGCCCAGCTCTCTAGAGAATTCCAGTAGCTGCCCTTATCCAACATTCAGAGCTAGCTAATTAATTTTTTTCTTTTTTTTTTTTTTGAGACAGGACCTTACTGTGTAACTCTGGCTGGGCTGGAGCTCACTGTGTAGACCAGGCTTGTCTTGAGCTCCAAGAAATCTGCCTACCTCTTCCTCCCAAGTGTGTGCATTGAAGGCTAAACTTTCCTACTAGCTACACCGTCTCACCTTTTCCTCTCCCTCCATCCCTGCCCCACTCCAGGGTCTCACATATCCCAGGCTGGCCTTCAACTCCTTACGCAGTCAAGAACGACCTTCAACTTCTGACCTTTATGCCTCTGCCCTTGAGTGCTGAATTCTCAGGTGTGCACATCATGCTCAATATATCGTATTGTGGCCTGGCAGTGGTGGCGCACGCCTTTAATCCCAGCACTCGGGAGGCAGAGGCAGGCGGATCTCTGTGAGTTCGAGGCCAGGCTGGACCGATAGCCTCCAAAACAACACAGAGAAACCCTGTCTCATAAACCCCCCCCAAAAATATATATATCGTATTGTGGATCAAATCCAGGGCTTCCTGCATGCTAGGCAAGCACATTACCATCTGAGCTACATCTCCTCTCCTGACTTTTCTTCTTTGCTTTAGTGCCCAGCTTGTTCATAATAAACACAAAACCTAGAATTTTAAATGTGTGTGTGTGTGTGTGTGTGTGTGCATACGGTATCTCTGTGTGCATGCATGTTATCTTGTGTGTGTGTGTGTGCATGCATATGGTATCTGTGTGTGCATTCATGTTACCTGTGTGTGCATATGGCATCTGTGTGTGTGCTTGTGTGTGGCATGCATCTGGTATCTGTGTGTGCACACGTTACCTGTGTGTGCATACATACAGTATCTCTGCATGCATGCATGTTATCTTGTGCGTGTGTGTGTATGCATGTTACCTGTGTGTGCATGCATATGGTATCTGTGTACACTCATGTTACCTGTGTGTGCACGCATGTTACCCGTGTGTACATGCATATAGTATCTCTATGTGCATGCATGTTATCTTGTGTGTGTGTGTGCATGCATATGGTATCTATGTGTGCATGCATGTTACCTGTGTGTGTATGCATACAGTAACTCTGCGTGCATGCATGTTATCTTGTGTGTGTGTGCGTGTGTGTGTATGCATGTTACCTGTGTATGTATGCATACAGTAACTCTGCGTGCATGCCTGTGTGTGTGTGGTATCTATTTGCATATGTGTGTGTGGAGGCCCAGGGTTGATTCTAGGTGTTTTCCTCCATCACTCACCACTGCACATGGAGACAGGGTCTTTAACAGTTTAGTATGGCTAGCCAGCCTGCTCTGGGGAGTCCCTCTCTCCACCTTTCTGGGTGTAGGGATTACTTATCACCACTATTTATCCTCCAGAGCACCACTGATCTTCCTAGACTGAGCTCTGTGTCCATGAGACAGGCACTCCCCACTTTCCTTCTTGTCCATCCCTGGAAATCACACAGCTAAGTCTTGTGTTAGGTGTGTATTGTGCTTGTCCAGTTGTGACTGTCAAACTGACATAATCTAGAATCACGTAGGAGGATGGTCTCAATGAGGGTCGTCTAGATCAGGCTGGCCTGTTAGCATGTCTGTGGGAAGACCTGCTCACTGTGGGCAGCACCATCCCCTAGGCTTGTCCTGGACTGTATTAGAGTACGAAAGTCAGCTGAGTAGAAGGGGTGAAAAATACAATTATTCCCCTCTGCTCCTGACCATGGATGTGATGTGACTAATTGCCCAATCTCCTACCACCTGAAATAATGGACTTCAACCTGGAACTGTTATCTAAAATAGATGCTTTCTCCCATACGTTACTCCCTGTCAGAGTATTTTATCACAGCAACAGAAATGAAACAAGAAAAGTAAACTGTAATTTTTACTATGAATAAAGCTTTTAGTAAAACACTGAAACAGGAAATTGGATTTAAAAAATTTGAGTGTGCTACTATATAATACAATCACTAAAGCAATTTGAAGATACTGCCTTGATTTGTGCTAATAGTACACTTGTATATTTATTTACTTACTTATTCACTTATTTATTTAGGTTTTTTTCGAGATAGGTTCTTTCTATGTAGCCCTAGCAGACCTGAACTCACTATGTAGATCAGCTTGGCCTCAAACTGAGAAATTCATCTGCCCCTGCCTCCTGAGTTTAGGGATTAAATTAGGTGTGTGCCACCATGCTTGGTACATCTAAAAAAAAGCAAACTAGTGGTCAAAATTTTTATTAATTATTCAAATTTCCAGTACTGAGAAAATAGTATTTATTTCTACCAAGAGCCAATACTCTCATTTTTACCAAGCAAAAAGAACAAGCCAATCCTTATTAATGCTGGCAGTAACAACTCCAAATCATGACTAACTGGGAGACTGAGACAATTTGACTATAGAAGTAATTTTCTCTTTTGGACACTTTGTCCTTTCATTCAGGACTCATTCAAATTTTATTTAAACAACAAATGTAGGAAAATTCCCTATTCTAAAAATTAAAGCAGGGAGTCTAAAGGGAGGTGTGATCTGAAAGGTGTGTTTTTTCTTTCCCTAGGGTTGCTGGCTTTTGTGACCAACGCCTCATCTCCTTGGTCACCAGTGTATGTGGTTCTTGTTCCAGCTGAATTTGAGGAGGGTGCCACCTGGTGGCAGAATAGGATAAAACACTCCATGGAGCTTCTGTGCCTTGTTGAAAGGCCCATCCGTGTTAGCTACAATATTCTCCCAAGACCTGTTCTAACATGCTATTACTATTGTGTGATGGCCAAAGATAGCCTTTGGCTAGTTATAGGAATAGATCCTAAGCATCCCAGCAGAGTTTTTATGGGAGTCCTTTTCTTGTTGAAGAGGTGCTGCTCCCAAGCTCTAAAATGAGAGTATCCCCTAGGTCCCCTAAATACCTCTATTCTCAGGTGTCTAGAGTAATCAATAACCCATGTTAGCCTGAGCTCCTGACCCCTGCTCTTCCATTTGAACTAACTGGAAATGAGGTGCTCTCCCAACATCACCTCCTAACTGCTTAGCAAACGCCATGACCTTAAGCAAAACACAGTTCATAGAACGCAAAGGATCAAAGTGAGTGACAAGAAAGAATCATGAGATATTATCTTATAGCATGCCACACTGCGTACCTGGGCAACAAGAGTCTGTGTATAAGTATTCTAAAAATGACAGGAAAGTCTCTTTGGAGACGCCGTAAACTGGAATCAGGACACTCTTGGCTTCCATGTAATTACCATTAAACATGGCCGCCATCACTTCGCATCGGGCCACCAGGATGGCTCTGTGGGCCGGCACAGTTGCTCCTGAAAGGTGAGAAAGGTAAACAAAATCAAGACAATGCTGCTGAGTTCTAAGTGGAGGGCCACCAACCATGACTAGCTGGGCAGCTCTGGGAACCACACCAGGGAGACAATGGGCATGGTGTCAGAGGCTTCTTAAGGCAGCTGAGAAACAGAAGAGTTCAAAATTTACCTTGAGACTCAACAATTTACAAATCAGACAAGCATTTGTTAGTTTAGATTTCCTAAAAACCAAGGGACTGAAATATAGACTTTGCCGTGTGCTTTTATAACAAAGCTCGTGCCCTCCAAGTTGGCTTGCAAGACTGCCTCCTCTGCCATGTTCCTGGGGGGAGGGGGAATTGCTCCTCATGGCCAAACTCACATGGTCTTGGTCAGGCTTCCCCACACTAGAAAGGGAAGCAGCAGGAGCAAACAACAAGCAGCTCAAACCTCACGGGGAGGAGCGCAGCCTAGACCTTACGAACGGTGATGGCACGCTCACGCCATGCTTATTACATACGAGCAACGCCTTCTCTGAGGCAGGCTTTGAACTGTGATGCCCTTGAGCTCACACCAGACACTGAAGCTCACCAAGCTGACTCTCTAGGGAGACTCTGCTGAGCTCTGAGCTATTGTTCCAGTGCGCCAAGACAGCACCGGACGGGGTCACAAGTGGCATGGGACTCATGGGGTAGTGAAACAGTGGTTATAATTTCTACCATGTAAGGAGACCATGAAGCCACTCAACGCCCTTCAGTCCCACTGATCGCCACCACCCCATGCCTGAGATGGAAGACACCGAGATGAAGAGGGCAAAGAGGAATTCCCGGGATCAGTGGGACCACAAAACTGCCCCCTTCCAGAAAGAAATGACATGAGTCAAACACTCTTTCAGCCCAATAATGGACTCATGTATCATCCAATTTCACAACATTTATCACAAGTATTTATTCTTCTCTAAAAGGTTCTCCAACCTCTCTAAATCCAAGCAAAACACTTCTTCTTCTAGGAAGAAAAGAGGTCCATCTAAACTCCAAGATGTTTCCCGAGGCTGATACTTCCTCTGCCTCATGGACCAACCACTGCCAGGTGAGACCAGGGGTTGGCACTGTGGTTGGCTCAGCCACACCCCCACCAGGAGCAAGGAGATGGCTTGAGAACATCCTACCCCTACCAGCACACATCATCCTCATGTCTACTCCACCAACACACGTCATCTGTCCTCCATGTCTGCTTACACACGTCATCTGTCCTCCATGTCTGCTTACACACGTCATCTGTCCTCCATGTCTGCTTACACACATCATCTGTCCTCCATGTCTGCTTACACACGTCATCTGTCCTCCATGTTTTCCCTTATTTGCCACAACCCTCCCAGCCAGTGTAACTGTATCATCTACCAAAACGGTTGGCTTCCATAATGAAGGCTGCTGGATATATTTGTAGAGACCAATTACAATTTTAGTGTTTAAACTATTTCAAGATAAAGAGAGCATCATTTGAAAAATAAAAGCCTGGCTTAAACACACTTGATTGTCTATCATTTGAGTTAAGTAAATGAATTAGAACTGACTGAAAATACAAAGTGGATAGTAGGCAGGGATGGATTTCATAAGCAGGGCTTGAAATTTTAACAGAGCTTTCCATTGATAATGTTACAAGACAATGGTGAAAATGTAAAACCAAGTTTAGTAACTTCATCAGCACCTTCCGCATGGGGTGTGTGTGTGTGTGTGTGTGTGTGAGAGAGAGAGACAGAGACAGAGAGAGAGAGAGACAGAGACAGACAGAGACAGAGAGAGCAAGCCCCCAAATCCGCCTGTCCTTGATCCCGAGAACTGAGATTACAGGCCTGGTGCGGCGTGGCACAGAGAAATGTCCAGGTGATTTTAGATCCATTTGAGAATTATAATTTAGTATGGAAAACCATCATACTTTCAGGTAAGGGAACACGATCTCACAACTCTTTAAATAACTGTTTTGGCGTTATGAAAAGTATGCTGTGGAAACGTACCACAGTACCCAACTGCAGCTACCTGTTTTCTGTTGTGTTTAGTTCAGTGTGTTGTGATGCGTGTGGGGACAGAGGCAGCTTCGGTCCTCTGGAAGCCGAGTTGTAGGCAGTTATCATAGGTGCCAGGGACCAAACCAGGGTCCTCTTGAAGAGCAGCGGGTGCTGTTGAAGCAGGGCCATCCCTCCAGCTCCTAGTTACCAATTTTAAGCAGTGTATTTGTGCAAATATGAAGAATATAACACAGAATTTCCATAATAGCTGGCAACTGGTTGCTGGTAAAGAATTGTGTGAGGGTACAGACGGCATTTTTTCATTGTTTGTTCTTTGAAAGTGCCAAAGACAGCTATCTTTTCCTGTCAGATCCATTTCGTGTTATAATTTCAGAAAACTTTTCTAAGAAAAAGAACGAGACTGAAACAACACAGGTCACTGTATTGAAATAAAATGTATTTGTTGCACCTTCTTATTATTTCTTATTATTTCAGATTTCACCACTGGCATTTAGGAATGACGCTTGCTCACTTCCAGAGAAATTTAACATGTACAGTGCTAAGTAAGTAGGAAAGCAATGTGCTTTTGTTAAAGAGTGTTTCATGTCAAATGGGGTCAAATGCAAAGGAACCCATCCTCCTAGGTCACTCCTGCATGCTTTCCAAAAGTAATTCAGAACTGTTTTATCTCTAGATATTTCTGTTGCACAAATAATACTCCATGCCAGGGTTTTATATCCTGTGACCACTCCAGCCAATTGTGGTTACTGGCTTACAGCTTGGGTTCCACAGTAAAACATTCCAGGACCCACCAATTCCATCTGACACTGCAGGGAAGAGGAATGGAGTTTACACTTCAGCCTCTGCTAGTCCCGGTGTGCACAAAACTGCAACCTTTACAGCCACTCCAAGTGGAGATCCAAGTCCCCATTTAGAGGCCAGAAGAAAGAGTGTTTCACACTTTGAATGGACAATGTCTGTTAAAATTTCAAGGTCACTTATCTAACTCAAGACCTCATCTTCTTTCCTGGTAGCTCTGGTCAACTATAAAGGGCCAGAAACCAGAAGAAACGCAACCACACCTACACAAGCATCCCTCTGAGCACAAATCCCAAATGCCAGCAAGGTCTTTTCGGTCTGTCACTACTTCCTCATCTAAGCGCAGCAAAGCATTGGCTCGACCCACTTGTCCCACTGCTCCTCATTTAGTCTCGGAAAACGTCAAAAGGTGGTGATGTCCATGATCACAGCCGCAGTGGAGAAGCCACAGACTGCGTTGCTGCAGGAAGAAAACCATTATGACCAACAATGATCACTCTCACCTTTCTCATTACTTCCTAAATCTGCATTAGAGATTCTGAAGACACATCTGGCTATTAACCAGCTCAAGTGTGACTTTTTCAGAATATACTTTGAATGGCAAATATTTTAGGTAAAATATATAGTGAAAAAGGTCTCATGTTTAGGTAAGATTTCACCATACCTTATAAAAAGCTTTGTAATTAAGATTTAGGGAGAGTTATTATCCAACTATTCCTCAATATAAATCAATTTAAACATAAGAATGTTTTCCCTTCTTGCTTTTGGTATGAAACATTGAAATTAATGATTAACCACAGTAAGATACATAGTCACACTGCACACAGCCATTTCCCTCAAAACAACATAATGCCCTAAACAAACAAACGAATGAATTCCACAGGGCTGAGAGGTCTTTCTGTCCATAGTACTTCTTATGAAAGCTTAAGACCTGAACACAAATACTGCAACCCACATAAAACAAGTGGACGCGTCGGTACAAGCCTGCCATCCCCCACGACTGGGGAGTGGCAACGGGGGACGAGCAGGTTATATTTAGGAATACATATGCATATACACATATGCCTGCAATAACAATTAGTGAAAAAAGAGTCTGTGAAATTGGTGAGCAGAGAGGGTATATGGGTTTATATTTACTCCTATAACAAACAAATTAAATTTTATGCCCAACAAAACAACAAAATAAAACAAACTAACACCAAAGTGGGGTATGAGATGGCTCAGTGGGGAGAGGGTTTGCTGTCAACCCTAACAACCCGAGTTCAATCCATGGAGCCCGCATGGTGGAATGAAACAGCTAGTTCCCACAAGCTGTCTTCTGACCTCCACATGACTGCCTGGACACGCCCATGCCACACCCAACTAAATAAGCAAGGACATGTGACTTTTACAAAGCGGAGTGACCACCCACATGACCAACACCTGAGGATGCTGCACGTCATCAGACAGGTACCCAGAGTCCTCGCACACAGAGGTGAGCGGGCATGGGTTGGCAGGGAGGAAAAGCAAGAGATTACAAGGGGAAAGATTGCCTGTTCTCCATGTGTTGCCTAGTTCTTTCAAAACCCTTCTCAGCGGGTTCCGCTCACATAATGCTTGGTGCTTATGCCTCCTAGGCTGACTGTAAGCAGCAGTAACGTCCGCTATGCAGGCATGGGAGCTCCACTGTGGTGCACTGAGAACTGGTGTGAATGAGGGGCTGAGAGCTCAGACTGCCATGCCAGAACGCTGACTGACTGCCTCATGTCGTGCACGGCTGTAATTCCAGCGCAATGGGTCTGAAGCTTTTCGAGCTTCTGCAGGTTCAGTGGAATAACTAAGGGGTTCAGAACGGCCAGAACTTCAACCAAGGAGACCTAGTTACTTAAGGAAAAAAAAAGAGGGACAGCGAAAACGACTACAACCTGAACACACCTTAAGAAATGAATTTCACCGCCAGGTGTGGTGGTACACGCCTTTAATCCCAGCACATGGGAGGCAGAAGCAGGTGGATCTCTGTGAGTTAAAGGCCAGGCTGGTCTACAGAGAGAGTTCCAGGACAGCCAGAGCTACATAGTGAGGCCCTGCCAAACAAACAAACAAATACATGTATGTCAGGCATTGTGTATGGTGTCTATCAAATAGTGTGAAAGTGGCAAGAAGTTGCTTAGCCCTGGCCATAGGACTGTGCGTAGCCCAGAAGATCCACAAATGCGCAACCTGTGTAACACACTGGGCTCAGAAGGTACTCCTCAGAACACACCTCAGCTTGGATGCAGGACAGTGCTTGCGTGTTCACCATACACACTTCAGATAACCCCACCACCACATTTATCCCTTAAGAAAAGCCAACCCTAGACTGTCGTATGACACCAGATCTTTTATCTCTCAGAGTTTGCTCAGCCTAAGACCAATCAACTCTACACCATGGATGTGGCCAACGGACAACCTCCCTCGGCAACCCGTAAGGAGTCACTTGGGAAAGGGCGCTCTGCCACCTTGTGACATTGGCTATCTTCCTCAGAACAGAAACCATTATCCTATCATTCAAAAAGGACAGGAGACCACTAATTTGGTAGAGACATACCTTTTAGGCTGGGCGGTGACGGTGCATGCCTATAATCCCAGCACTAAGGAGGCAGAGGCAGCAGGCTCTCTCTGAGTTTCAGGCCAGCCTGGAGTTCCAGGACAAGGTTCCAAAACTACACAGAGAAAGAAAGAAAGAAAGAAAGAAAGAAAGAAAGAAAGAAAGAAAGAAAGAAAGAAAGAAAGAAAGAAAGAAAGAGAGAGGGAGGGAGGGAGGGAGGGAGGGAGGGAGGGAGGGAGGGAGGGAGGGAGGGAGGGAGGGAGGGAGATCTCTGAAGTAATGAAGGCCTTTTAATTTACAGGTTAAGTTTCTTCTTAACAAGGGGTATAGAGCTTTCAGCTGGAAGGCGAAGTTGCTTAGCTGTCTGTCTATCCTGGTGGTTCTCTGGTGTACACAGCACACATGCAGGTCCCACAAATGCCACCATCAACACTATCCCTCTAGGAGTTAATTCTGTGGTCACTGCTCGATGGCCCGCACCTACCGACAATGGGTCTCCTGGAGCTGGCTTCGACAGACACTTGGGACTGCACTTTGGCAACTAACGGGAGTGTGCCACTGCCAGGGTCTGGGCAGTCAGCGGTACTTCTCCTAACTGCATTTGAGGGCCACACACAGTCTATGGCTGCTTGGTAGCTCCCTGCCTCACCACGATGCTGTAAATGCACTCAAAGCTACGCTTGCTGTCCCACGTTCAGAGTCCTGGGCTCTCACAGGGTGCTGCCAACAGAGCTTTGGGAAAAATTCAATTCACCTGTTTTTTGTTTGTTTGTTTTGACATGTGGCCAAAATTAAAAGTAAGGAGTATCTTTTTGGGAAAAGATACTGAGAAGTAAATGCCATGTTATCTGCCACATATTTCCACCCCAAATTTAAAATTACATCTCCCTCTTTATAATGGCCCATCTAAAGTTCTACTTAGTTTAATTGCAAACGACTCCTTTTATCCTTGTGTAACTGAAGGCGTCTGACAATTCATCTTTAAGATTATGCATTTAATCTATTATTAGCGTGACGGAATTATTCATGCAGTAGTCAGCAGTGGGCTTCTAAGACCACTCAGCTCTATTAAAAGCAGTAGCATTGCTTTCCCACAGAGATAAGAGGTGGTCTTCAGTTGGTCTGTGACAAGGACACATTCAGCAACAACTGTGGATGCCTGGTGGAGGTCAGACAATTTTTCTAAAAACTGAATAAACCAAGCAAGAGATAATGTGCTTTTAAGGCAGCTGGGTTCATATGAATTTTAAAAAAATGGGATCTTAAGAAAATATACAAATGAGAATGCAAAATGGCAAATTAAAGATCATCCCATCTCCTGTGGATCCCGGAAAGTAGATGAAGTATATACGAGGGGAAAACACTACGGAAATGTAAACTCCTTTTCTTAGTTTATAAAACGATTTTCTTAAAATTCAGCTGGTATCACTTTCTGTCCTACAACAGAGAACACTAATTCCTCCATCCCAGGCATTTAAAGCTGAACTTGACGTGATGGGAGCAAATAAGAAATGAAAACCTGAAATGAACTCAGAGTCATACCTTGTATTTCGAAGACGACATCGGCAAGCATCGGTTTATTAAGGAAAAACTTGAGCGAAGTGTTATAGAACCACAGAGGCTTCCTGGCTTGGTAGGTCTTGCAATTCCTCAGGCAATTGATCTGTGGGGAGGAAACACAAGCGCGGGGAGTGGGGGGAGCTTTTCAGTCTGCTTTGGCAGCACACGTGGGAAAGAAACTGCAGACAAGAAATCACGGCCGCCTGGCACCTCTAATCACCTCTGAGAGGACCTTCCCTCAAGCACTACATCTGCTGGCTGCCAGTGAGTGCACAGGTGCACAGGTCGCTGAGCACAGCACAGGAACCGGTTTAGGGTGGCCAGGGGGCCTCAGGACCCTGAACCCGAGAGCCACTGAAGGAAACCCGCGCTTCCTTATCACACAAGGTCCCTTGACAGCCAGCGGGTCACTGTTTCTCCTAAAGAATGAACATTTAAAAAAAGCTCAGAGCAGTGAATTTCCATTTGAATACAACTTCCTAATGCTTACTATTTAATTTTTTATTTAATTTTTTATGAAGTAGCGGAGACTACTGGAACCGACAGAAAGCCCCTGGGGTGCTGGGTCTGCAGCCCCAGACACTCCGCCCATGTCAACGAGACCTGCCACAGTGCTCCTGCCTAGCTCAGCTGACAGCCCTTCCTCACAGGACCTTTCTCAGCTTTGGCTCTCTGTCATTTGCTGAGTCTACCCAGACATCCCTGGTCCCCATTCTAGAGGCCCAAAGCCAGCTTCCTTTCAACACCTCCAACCTTTTCTTTTGTATTTTCTGTGATTTTTCTTTACAGTGAAATAAAACAACTCTTAACAGCACTTTCAGTAGAGGTGCCCAAATTAGGCTGCAATCTTAAATTATATGGCCACAAGCCCTAATTTGGAATGATGTAGTTATGGTTCTTACTGAAATTATTTTTATTCATTTTCTTTTTTCTTCTTCTTAAAACAGGGTTTCTCTGTGTACCCTTGGCTGTCCTGGAGCTCACTCTGCAGACCAGGCTGGCCTTGAACTCACAGAGATCTACCAGCTTCTGCCTCTCAGAGTGCTGGGATTAAAGGCACTCTGATCAATTCCCTGGTGGTATTTCCAAATCTCAAAATCTCATCCTCATTAGAACTCCCACGTGGCTGGGCGTTGGTGGCACATGCCTTTAATCCCAGCACTCGGGAGGCAGAGGCAGGTGGATCTCTGTGAGTTTGAGGTCAGCCTGGTCTACAGAGTGAGTTCTAGGACAGCGTCCAAAGCTACAGAGAAAACCTGTCTGGAAAAAAAATAATATACATATACATACACATACACACACACACACACACACACACATATAAGAACTCCCACGCTTGGCCAGCTAGGGAAATCAGGAACCTTTATCCTTAAGAAGTCACACATCTGGCAATAAGAATAGATGATACCTAATTGTGTACCTATGCTAATCTACTTTGGAGGGAAGTTTGCAATCTTTTGTGACAGAGGAAAATTATATAATTCTCTTGACAAGGAAAAAGAAAGCCCACTCCAGCATGAAATCCAGCAGTGCGACCAAGGACAAGAAGTAACAGAGGTCCTTGTCCCCCATGTGAGGATCTCACCCCCACCCCAGCACCCACTGGATGTGTGGCTGACACGCCTAGAGAGTGACAGCCAAAACCCACCCCAGAACTAGGCTAGCAGGGGCTTCAAGTGTCTCCTTTTGTCCCCAGTTTAACAGAAAAGCCTGTAGCAACGATTCATGGCAGACTCAGAACTGAAATCCAGGCTCCCAAGTGCTAACACAGAGCTACATTTCTATGACACACTTGAGAAACAGAAAGTATGTAGCGGTGGAGGAGTCCTCCCAGCTGTGCAGAGGGAATTAGCTCAGTGTCATGGAATCACACAGTCCAGTCTTCCCGAGACTGGGCCCAGGTGATGGTACTCGCAGTACCGCAAACAAGCTAGCACCAAATCAGACCCAAGGAAAGGCAGGTTCAGAACACCAGCAAGACCCTGCCCTGTGCCACATAGACACAGGTTATGAACCTGCACAGGGTGAATCTTACAGATACACACTGCGTGTGAAGCATGTGTGAGAGAGATGGGAAGAGATTTTCCCTGGTTCATAAAGGAACTCATCAGACTGTCTAAAAAGCAGAGCACAGTCATTTCTGTGTCAGTCTTTATAGGATTACTCAGTTGAGTTAGATTGAAACAATCCTGTAAGGCTAGTCAGCCTGGGTATGACTGCCACATGGAGTTCAGAAGCAGACTATCTCACCCTTAATTCTGTGTTTATCTGCTGAATTTTTTCATATGTTAAACTCTTTTATTTCTAATGCATCTTATTTTCCACAGACTCCACCCTCGATATGCAGTAGGCCTTGCAGTCCAGGCCTCAGGAAATTTCCTCAGGAGGGAAACACTGTCTGCTGTTTTGTTTGCCAACGCTGTCCAGAAAACGAAATTTCAAACATGCCAAGAACACACTTCACAAAAATAATCAACAGGTTGTTTACTTTCTACCATATTTATAGAGCTCTCAGAGAGCCCTTTCGGAGAAAGGAGAAGATAAATGCCGTTATAAAGTTAAAAGAACCAATAACGCTGCTGTTAAAATAATATACTGCCTGTCTCATGATCATTTCAGAACCATGAATTTTCTTCTCAACTAAAGAAAATTAATAATCTTCATGGAAAGCTAGTACAAGCCAGGGGTGGCTGTACATATGCAATCCTAGCAGCAGGAAAGATGAGGGAGAAAGCCACCATTAGAAACCGGTTGGGGCTACATGGACAGTCAGTAGTCAGTCTGGACTGTAGAATGAGTTATTTTCTACAAAACAAACAAGCAAACATAGAAAGGGAGGAACAGAGAAATGGCCCAGTGAGTAAAGACCCTTGTCCGAGTTTAATCCCTGAACCCACACAGTGGAAGAATCCATTCTTACACGCTGTCTCAACTCCATGTGTGTTCTTAGGCACACACAACTGTGCACATGTGTATACACACACTAAATGAAAGTAAGAATGACTTTGAAAAGTGAGAAGAAATGAAAAACTAATACAGTTGGCATCTTTCAACTATCAACTTAAAATGTTATTAATGTGGGCTGTAGCATTAAGTCATCTGTTAAAAAAAACTAAAGGGATACTTGCCTTCTATTTAAAGAAAACCTACATTTTGCTAAGCATTGCACTCAGCTTATCAATTTGCTTATCACAGAATCTAAAGTTAGAATAAACTGGCTAAATTGTGTAACACAGCTGTCTTAAAGTTTTACAAATCTACTTTAAAAACATTTACAGACTGTATAATCTAAATAACTGGAGTTTTATGGTCATACAACATCAGTATTTTTATAACCCCGAACCCAGTTTGTAATTTTGAATATGTACTCAAGGTACTCAAGGGATTCCTCAAGTGTCCATTCAGCTATATTGCTTGGAATCTTTCAAAGTCCACGCAGGAACAGCCCTACTCTCCAAGGCAGGAGCCAGGCAGCCTTTTATTCCCAATATAGGACGTGTGTTCCCAGGACTCCAGTGAGCTGTTCCCAAAGCAGAATTCACAAGCTAGTATTCCAAAGACACGAGTCACACACGCTAATCCTTACATAAATTAAAATCTTTGTAGGAAATACATGTTTCTGTTTAAAATAGTGTATGTTTCTGTTCAAATATTTTTAACATATTTAAACATATACACAGGGAAAACATTTATATTTATGAATTATTTATCTTTGCTGATGACTCAATGTTATAGTTATCAAAGTATGCCAGTTATAATTCACAGTCAAAGCGTTTACCTTCCCTGGTGTTTTTAAAATGCATTTAACTTTCTCGATGACACTGGAGACGTCCCCTGAATCCTTCAGCTTCCTCCTGATGTCTTCTTCCAGCTCCTCCCACTGGAAAGCACCTGTAGGGGAATCGCGTATCAGAATGCTGTGAGTAACAGATGTGGACAGCCGACTCTCCTTCAGACACGACTGCGTCCTTCTTTAGTATTCTAATTTTTCTGGAGCAAGCACATCTCTTTGCAAGTGAGAAAGGCAGGTTTTCTGACACAGTACCTGTCCGGCTGGTCTTCCCCTGAACTTGGTCTCCACCCTGGTCAACTTCAAAGCTACTCTTCTGGGCTCCTTCACTCTTGCCTACCACTTTTCTTTCCTCCAGTTCTATTTTACGCCAAGCAAAAGACGACCTTTACCTAAACTGCTCCTCTCACACGGCCTAGGCACTCTCCTACCCAACCCCCCCCACCTCGCCCTTCCCGCTCCCCGACGACGGCTCATCCTTGGGATCCGTCCTAGTCCTGAAGCTAAAATGTCAAAAGTGTGATTTCTGCTCGTGACATTCCAAGGAGTCTTAGTTCTGTTGTTGTGAATACTTACAAAAGAAAGCTTTAACTGGGGGTTTGTTTATCGTTTTAGAGGGGTGGGAAACATGGCAGCACATACTGTGACAGAAAAGTAGCTGACAGCAACATCCTGACCCTGACCACAGTCAGGCAGGCAAGAAGGAGAGCCTGGGCTTGGTGTGGGTTCTTTTGAAGCCTCAAATTCCATCCCCAGTGATACACTTCCTCCAACAAGGCCTCAGCTCTTAATCCTTCTAATCCTTCCAAACAGTTCCATTCCCAAGTGACTGAGCATTCAAATATATGAAGCTATGGGGGTCACTCTAATTCACATCATCACACAATGGATTGCCTTCATCCTCCTGACTTACAGGAGGTCACATTCCTAAAAATATAATTAAAACAATATGCATTGACAAGCAAGTAAGGAGGCCCACATTCTAGCACCATCTCTGCCATTAACTACTGGTGTGACTTCAAGGAAGTCATTTCACCTCTCTGCTATCTGCTCCTCATCTCCCAGTCCTCATGCATACCTATATATCCATCACTCTGCAGATGCCCTCACGATCGAGACTGAGGACTGAGCAGTGTGGGTCACCGAGCAGGTCACCGTAGTCAGCTTCTACCAACAGGAACCCAGAAGCTTGGTGCTCTTGGCACTTACTTTTTAATGTTTTTTCGAGACAGGGTTTCTCTGTATTGCTTTGGAGCCTGTCCTGGAACTCACTCTGTAGACCAGGCTGACCTTAAACTCTGCCTCCCGAGTGCTGGGATTAAAGACATGTGCCACCACCACCTGGCACTTCTTAATTTTCTTAAAGACTGGCTTATTTTTATGTGTATGAATGTTTGACTGCATGTGTGTAAGTGTACAACATGTGTGCTGTGCTTTAGAGACCACAGTGGACAATAGACCCCCTGGAACTGTAGAGAGCTGTCAGCCACCACATGGGTCATGGGGTTGTACCTGGGTCCTCAGCCAGTGCTCTTAACCGCTCAGCCACCCCAGCACTTTTTGCTATAGCACTCAGTGCTCTTGCGTGTCCTCACTTCTGCTTCTCACTCCAGCTTCAGCAGCATTTGCTACTAACATTCACAGCACAGCCAAATCCGCGCTAACAGCACGGCATCACGGACCTTGGAAATGGGTTCATAAACAGGTGCTGCTCTAACTCTAGCTAACCATTGCCTCTTCCTACTTGTGACAACTCTTTACTCTGACTTCCCTGCTGGGCCACTTTACTCTTCATACTCCAGAAGAATGAGTGTCTTAAGAATTGTCTCCATAACTGAGCACACGTAATCTTTTCATAACCTGGCAAATTCTTTGGATTATCTTTCCAGAAAACCTCCCACGCTCACATAAACAAAAGGTCTGTATAAAAATGTCAGGACCCTGATTTAAAAAGTGACTGTGTGGTGCCTATGCCATGGTCATTGATACTATAGGGAGAGGATGCTAAATACCTCTCCCTGTGTTTGGAAGGCCAGCTCCTTCCAGTCCTTGCTAAACCCTGGTGTACTGAATACATACACTTTCCTTGTCACAGCCTCTTAGCCCCCTGGCTGCTGACACCAGACTCCCCGAGTGTCCTCTGCCCACAGAGTCCTCTGCAGCTCTTAGATAGAGGTGTTTGTGAACACCAGAGGGACAGAGACTGGACAGCAAGACATCACACAAAGCAAGGCTGGAGACACTGTCTACTCAGAGCGTCATGGAAGAGCTTTTTACTCTGCTTAGAAAATGTCTAATGCATGGGTGATTCTAGCTTATCAAGTCTTGACATCAGCACCTCAGAGGGCTATATACTCGCCCCATGTCCATCCACTAATGGCCTGGAATGACTACAGTGACAAGAGATTTTTCCATTGAATTTGTAGCTAACTTTTCTGCCACCTCCATAAAACCTGTGCAATAAATCACATACGTTAAAAAACAAACAAACAAACAAACAAACAAACAAACAAAAAACAAAAACGCCAGGAGTATCAAATGCCTTAGAACCCAATGGAGCCCAGATTGATTCTCCACCCTAGCTGGGCATTATATTGACCTGAAGAAAGATCAGCTGGGGTTCCAAACCTCCCAGGCCCCTAAGTACTCTTGAGTGGTGCTGTGGACCATGTTCACACCTTAAAAACCCCAGCCATTAGCAACCCAGTTAGCCTAGGTCAGGAATGTCTTTATCTATCTACTCATCCAAACTGAAGGCAAACACAGATACAGTCTCGGTATTAACCTTTGACATTACTAAGTAAACCTACATCCAGTTAACACAAGGTATATTAATCAAGGAACATGCACATAATACCTTCGTTCATAGGACTATCTGAAAGCAAGCAGCCATGAAATAATCTAAATAAATTGGCAAACCTGAGGGGCCACTTAGCTGTTTGAAACAGTCACCAAGAGTCAATAGCCAAGAATGAAAGTAGGGCAAATTCCAACAGTACACTAACAAGCAGGTGGGTTCCATAACTAGAAATACAATCACATTATCTTTGATACCCTAGTTGCCAATAAAACTGCTCGGGTTTCTTCGCTGTGGTGAAAATGTTTAGCGTGAGATCCATCCCTGAACAATGTTTTCGGTATGCAGCATTGTCAACAACAGTCACAGCATCACGTGGCACAGTCTCAGCAGCTACCCATCTTGCACCGTTCGCTGGGGCTTCCTAAGGATGACTTCTCATGTGGCAGGGTCTTGCACCGTTCGCTGGGGCTTCCTAAGGATGACTTCTCATGTGGCAGGGTCTTGCACCGTTCGCTGGGGCTTCCTAAGGACGACTTCTCATGTGGCAGGGTCTTGCACCGTTCGCTGGGGCTTCCTAAGGACGACTTCTCATGTGGCAGGGTCTTGCACTGTTCGCTGGGGCTTCCTAAGGACGACTTCTCATGTGGCAGGGTCTTGCACTGTTCGCTGGGGCTTCCTAAGGACGACTTCTCATGTGGCAGGGTCTTGCACTGTTCGCTGGGGCTTCCTAAGGACGACTTCTCAAGCCCCTCAGTAATTTATGGAGCATTCAGCTATTTGATGCTGTTTTCTATTGTCCAGAAAAGAGCACTGAGGAGCAATGTCAAGGACTGGAGAGAATACCATGGGACCTGAACCTGAAGGCTTGTCCACAAGTTCAGCTACCACATCATTTCAGGAAGTGATGTGGAATTCTGGGTCATGACAGGTCCAGCTCAACGCTACATTCTTGAGTCTCTCACGGAATATTTCAATTTCTAACCATCGGAGATCATGTGACTCAGCAATTTATAAGCCATAAACTACAAAGTCTTGTAAGAATGTTGTAAGTGTATGCTGTTTCAGGATAACTCCCTGAGTGCAGAAACTGCAGATCTCACTCTGCTGTTAGTCCTTATCCTCAGGCACTACTTATTAAACATTAACACATCATACGGTGTTCCTCTTTGCAATGGGAGGTTAACATGCACCTGAACTGTACCTAGTTATTCAAAACTTAAGAGGAAAACAAACAGAAGGCTTATGTATGAGTACAAAATGCTAGCCAGACTATGAAATAGGTGCCTTCTAACACCAAGTCAAAACATCTACATAATCCATTTCCCAGAGGCAAAAGACAAGCCTGGTATTATTTAAAAACTGCCTTTCATGGCCTGGCCAACTGTTTTCAAGGGCAGAAGATAGACTTATTGTAGCCTTTTTAGCCCGTTTGCTCAGGGAAATTTTCCCGAGGAAGCTGTGCCATGGAGTTGTTTTCCCTGAGCAGCCCCATGGGCCTAGACAAGTCACGGTTGCTGTTTTCCATGGTTCCCTGATAAATCCTGTGGCCATGTAGAAACCACGGCAGAATGGGTCTGGAAACCCGTGTTCTATTCAGAAATCTGAACCTGTTACAAGGAAACATTTTAAGTCCTCACTGAAAACTCTATGAAAAATGTAGATGTAAGATTTTTCATTTCATTTGCTAAAAATTTTTGTTTGGACAATAGGATCTGTATTATTTTTTTGTAGTAAACATGCATTTTAAAAATTATGCAACGATGGCTCTAGTATCTTTTAAAACAGAACTTAAGCTTTCTTCTGCTCAATTTAGATTTATCATTTGTATGTAATTAAGAACGATTAATAAGAATCCAAGGAGCTACTCATTCTTCCTCTCAACCTGCATCAGGCTCCGCCTACCCCAGACCAAGGCCAACCCCACCCCACCTGTGTGAAAGAGACATAGGAGACCAGAGCTGAAGTGAACACAGGGGTGCAGTGCAGAGAGCAGGGGTGCAGTGCAGACAGCAGGGGTGCAGTGCAGAGAGGCAAAAGAGCAGAGGTGCAGGGTAGAGATGCAGTGCAGAGAGCAGGGGTGAAGTGCAGAAGAGCAGGGGTGCAGTGCAGGGGTGCAGTGCAGAGAGGCAAAAGAGCAGAGGTGCAGGGTAGAGATGCAGTGCAGAGAGCAGGGGTGAAGTGCAGAAGAGCAGGGGTGCAGTGCAGGGGTGCAGTGCAGAAGAGCAGGGGTGCAGTGTGGAAGAGCAGGGGTGCAGTGCAGAGAGCAGGGGTGAAGTGCAGAAGAGCAGGGGTGAAGTGTGGAAGAGCAGGGGTGCAGTGCAGAAGTGCAGGACTACAGTAGCTCCGAGCTGGCCTAGGAGCTCACCTTCCACACAAACACACACATACACACACCATTCACATACACACACGCACACACAGGTGTGTGCGCACACACACAACACTCTCACACAGACACACACATGCACATGCGCACACACACACGCTCGCACACACAGGTGCGTGCGCACACACAACACTCTCACACAGACACACACACACACGCACGCACACACACGCATGCATAGGTGCGTGCGCACACATACTCTCACACAGACACATGCACGCACGCACACACACACAACATTCTCACACAGACACACACACGCGCACACGCACGCACACACACTCTCACACAGACACACGCACACGCACGCACACACACTCTCACACAGACACACGCACACGCACGCACACACACTCTCACACAGACACACGCACACGCACACGCACACACACACTCTCACACAGGCACACGCACACGCACGCACACACACACTCTCACACAGACACACGCACATGCACGCACACACATACACACTCTCACACAGACACACGCACACGCACGCGCACACACACGCACAGTCTATCGCCTCTGCTGTCACCCCACTGCCTTGTCCCTAGACGTCTGCTCATCTGCTGAGATCCACTCTCTCTCTGGGCAGGTTAACGGCAGGACACCAAGAACCGAGCTCCAATAGCTCTGAATAGCCTTGAAGCTTGCCCCAGGTTTACTTTGTGCCCTAAGGTGACAATGGGCTTCCCAGTCTGGCCTCTCAACCGAAACTCAGCCCTGTTTCACTGGCTGCGGCCCCTCATCAGCCATCACTGCACCCCCATGCCAGCCACACCATGAGGACCTGCACACTCATGGGTTCCCCAGTGACCTCTGACCCGTTGTCTAGATGATGAAAGGTCATAGCCAGCGCCCCCCCCCCATGTTGCACGCCAGAGGATGGAGCTTCCTCACCGAATTCTTGTGTTGCCCTCTCTACTTCAAGCTCCCCACCACCCCATGCCCACACAAAAGCCCAGCCTGATGGCACTGAGGACAGTATCACAGCTTCTAGCAACGGCAGAGTCTGTTCACACAGGCCCTGCTGGCCTCTTCTGCTCCTCAGTGCTTCCCGTCCCAGGACAGCACCTGTGGTCCCTGAAAACAGCATGTGAGGATTACATGTTTACCAGAGTATCTGCACAGGTGAACAAAACCTTTCTAATAGTATCTGAGAGAATGCTGTCCCAGGAAACTGGCCTGTGTTTCTTCCCATCTCTGAGGCTGGCAGGCAGGTTCAGCCTCTGGGGACTGGATCCACCTTGCAGCTACCCTAGTAAAGAAGGTATAAACGGCTTAGGGGGCTCATGTGATGCGCATACCAGGGTTAGATGGGTATTATGGGAAGGCTGCTGAATAATTGAATAATTCATAGAATTTTAACAGTAAACTCACTGGAAAGTCAAACACCTCATTATTGTCCCTTAGATTTGTCATTACAACTCTTTTTCTTAACATGCAAACACTTAGTTTCTTAGAATTAGCAGCTTTAAATTCTGAGCTGTGAGATCCTGCGTATAAACATTAAACGTTGTAGAACTAAAAGAAGTCGTTAACTTACTTGATGACTGGCTACTTGAGCCCCATCTACGAGGGCACTGACACATGTAGGAAGCCTTGCAAGCTGAAGGCAGTTACTCACTCGTCAATCTGCCAAGCCTCTACTCATGGAACCACCACATTATTCTTACATTTCCAACAAAAACCAACTACACAGATTCTTTTAAAAAACATAAGTAAAAAGTTTGGTTGTGAGCATAGCCTTTAACGGCTGAGCCATCTCTCCAGCCCAAAAAAAAAATAATTAAATGTTAACTTACTATACAAAATAACCACAACTCAAATGGAAAAAAAGAGAACATCTTGCTTTTTAGGGCTCAGTAATTTCCCACTGAATCCAAATTTGTTTGGATTGCATTCCCCATTTTAACTATGGTGTACAATGCTCCTATGAGCATGACTGTAGAACTCTTCTTTGACACCTTGCTTTTAATTACTTCAGCCATACAGTCAGAGACGAACTGCTATGTGATGCGGTAATTCTGTTTTTAATTTTCTAACAACTGCTGTACTCTTTCCAAAGCACTAAGAAATGATGTAAATGACCACCTGGATGAACCTCGAAGACATTATGCTAAATGAAGTAAACCAGCCCCCAAACCTCAGCTACACTGACTGCACTCATCTGAGGCACACAGAGCAGTCAGAATCAGCAGGAGAAAGGGCTTGGAGAAGTTACCATTTAATGGACAGACTTTCAGTTTTCAAAGTAAAGAATTACAGAGCTGAATGGAAATGCTAAGTGTACTCTGTCATCTAATGTCATCGGATTGTACACTTAAAGATGGCCAAAGCAGCAAACTGTAGGCTGTGTGAGTTTGCCATTTTTCCCTTAAGGAAAATAAATTTTTTCAGGAGACAAAAACACTTGAACTAATTTCTACATATAAAGTAAGTGCGACCTGTCCTGTGTAAGTATCACCACAGAGGGCAGGGGTAAGGTAAGTGTAAAACTAACCGAGACTCTCAGACTTCTGGGGAGCTCCACAGAGCAGAAGGGCCCAGAAGCGCCTGCAAGGTACCTGAATAAATGAAGCGCAGAATGTCCGACAAGCAGGAGCAGAAGAGGGCATCCTTCACAGTGACGCGCAGTGGCGGGTTGCTGGAAGATTCCTGGCTAGCACCTGGAAACACTGCATCTCTGTTTATGGCAAAGAGGTCCTGGGTGGTTCGGACGATGCTGGGATCCTGAATGTCGGTAGGGCTCTTCACATTGAACAGCAGCATGAAAACGTGGCTTACAGCGCAGAGAACGATTTTGTGGGCCTCCACGATGCCTGTCACTTCCGGGTGGTAAAACACCACGTCCACACACTGGCAGCAGAAGAGCAAGTTGTTCAAGTCAGAGTGGTAGTGCGATGCCTCAGCTTTCAAGACAGGCATCTTTTCTGTTTTGGAGGGAAAATTAAAATAATAATCTATTTTTTATGTCTACAGGTGTGATAACTAAAAATAAGTATTTTTAAAAAATAAGATGGAATCCTACAAAGTACCAATACTTGCCCATTTTAAAAAAATCTACAAATCACTGATCTTGTACAGATTTACCTAAGAATATATAATTTAACTCATCGAGCATTACCGAAGTGCATTTTACAAAACATACATGACTATGATATTTATATTTTGCAGTGAAAGTGAAAACCTAATGATATGAGAAATAAAATAACATCTCTCATTATTTATGTGTCTCAAAACAATCCCCTAAGTACAGAACTTTAGTATGGATGTTGGGAATCAACCTGATTAAAAAAAATTTCAACTAAGCTCACATCTGCAGTGGAGGTCAAGGGCAACCACTTCGAGTCTTCATACATTGCCATGGCTCTAACTACTCTATTGCCTGAAATCATCCTAATAACTTTTTCTGACTAGTCTTTTTTTTCCTTCAAGTAAAATAATTTACTTCACCAAACAGCAAATAATTCTTTCCATTCAACATACCTCAGCCAGGGTGCTGAGTGTAATCCGTGGGTTCCTACAGAGAACATCCCCTTAGATTTACTAGAACTACTTTGATCTATTGAAGATCTATTCCTTTTCACCAGCCCATGATTTCCACAGAACCCAACTGTAAGATGTCTGGCCTCTCACTTGCTGGCAAGCCTAAGCAGAGGAACGTAAGGGAAAGGATGCCAAAGGATCAAGGCCCACCATGATCCAAGCAAACGAAGTCAGTCCCTTCAGCAGCAGAGATCCTTTGCTCTAAACGAAGCTTGGAAGCCGGGTCTGTGACACTGACAAACATCTCTGAGGACCAGGCTCCCTGCACTGCACCCTAGGGCCATCCTCCCTCCTATGCTTAGGGTACCTTCACAGGACCTCAAATGCTAACAGAGTGAAAGCCGTGTGCCCCCAGAGCCCAGCCCTGATCCGTAGAAGGAGTCAGCCCCCGAGACATCTGGGAGCAGTCCTGTTGGATCCTGGCTTTTATGGAGTGCTTGGCCCACCGTCCTCTCTTTCTATTTCTTCATAAAATACAATAACATTATCATGATAAACTATAGTCAGCCAGGTGACTTTAATCCCAGCACTTGGGAGGCAGAGGCTGGTGGATCTTAGTGAGTTCCAGGCCAGCCAGATCTGCAAAGAGTTCCAGAACAGCCAAGGCTGTTACACAGGGAAACCCTGTCTCAAATAGCAACAAACACAACAAAAAATGTGATAGAAAACTATAGCCATTATTCTCTGATATCAAGTACCTATTTTTTAGAAGTAATACCAGAGACAAACTGATCCAACTATTATAAAACCATGTAAAATGTTCTCATAGAGTGCCATCTTATTTTTATATTTACACTCAGTTGCACAAGTGATAATGAATACATACACCTTTTACTTCATCCTGAAGTTAATCTCTAGACACACACGCACACACACACTCACACACACACATACACACACATTCACACACACTCACACACACTCACACACACACTCACACATACACACATACACACACATACACACACATTCACACACACTCACACACTCACACACACACACTCACACATACACACATACACACACATACACACACATACACACATACATACACACACATACACACACATACATACACACACATACACACACATACACACTCACACACACACCCACACACACTCACACACACATACACACACATACATACACACATACACACACATACACACATACACACACATACACACTCACACACACACACTCACACACACATACACATACACACACATACATACACACACATACACACATACACACACATACACACATACACACACATACACACACATACACACTCACACACACATACACACATACACACACATACACACACATACACACACACATACACATACACACACATACACACACATACACACACATACACACACATACACACTCACACACTCACACACACATACACACACATACACACACATACACACACATACACATACACACACATACACACACACATACACACACATACACACATACACACACACATACACATACACACACATACACATACACACACATACACACACATACACACACACACATACACACACACACATACACACACACACACATACACACACTGAAATATTTTCACATTATCTCTCCCAAGTGAGAACACTGACTTATTAATCATAACAGGTAAGAAAATTACAGTAACCCTACAACCTCAATTGGCTTTTGGTTCATATTAATTTTTCACCAAGTGTCCCAAGACTGCCATTTGGATGTGTTATTGAGCAGCGTCCCTTTAAGATTGTCACACGGCCTTTCATTGACATCTGACAGTCTTTTATCCCAACAGCTCTCCTACATGTGCTAAGAATCTGGAGGATCACACTTAACAGAGGTATTTTCTCAGAAGTGTGCTTTAATTACCATCCGCATTAGTCCCAGCCCTTGCCCCAGGTTCGCTGAATCAGACTGTCACATGGACCCTGAGCATGTGAGCATGCTCAGACTGAAAGCCATTCCTCTAAGGTCTGGGAGGAATGATGCATAAGAAATGTCTTCTTAGTGTCTCCACACCTGGTTGTTCAAGTTGAGGCGGTCGAATTCCATGGAAGGAGTTGGTCATTTTCCTTTTCCTCATTTTTTCACTTGTCTTCTGATTTAAGGTTTGAATCATAAAATACTCCAACTGAAACACGAACCAAATCAGAATTAAGTCCAACACAGTCATGTCTGACATGATCATTTGTATTCCAAACCACATTTGCGAACGGTTTTAATGCCAGAGTCAATACTAGCAAACATGTGCAAATAATTTTTAATGGTAAAAATAAAGATATTTTGGAGGGATTAATTTGTTTGTCTGAACCCTCACTTGAGAAAAAATTATTTTTGACTAATCAAACAAGGAACACACACCCTGCAACTCCATGGCTACATCCGTTTCCTCAGTGGGGAACTGCTGTAGCTAACACCGTGACAGTCAAGACAGTAACAGGTATGGCCACATCTGTCCACAGATGTCCTCTTCAGCGAGGCAGCTGCACTTGTCTCTCCTCATACATTGCTCTTTACTAATGAGGACTCACTCTCCTCAACATGCAGTGACCTGGCTCCTGGACTGTGAAATGCTCTCAAGGCCTGAGGTAGGAGCACAAATGGATGCCACCCACACTGCAATACTACAATGTTAATCAAAAAAGCAAATATGAGGAAAACAGACACTCTATACTCCCATTCTGCGAAACCTATCTCCACACAGGCATGATCAGCCAGATTTAGCTTAAAATTGCCAAACCCACTCAGAGACACACGCAGCATGGGATAGGTGACCCCTAACTCCTGGATCCCAAGACTGTGTCATCTTTGCACCCCCACTCTGCCCTGCCACTTCTCACCCCCTCAAGGAAATCTGTGCACCCAAGAGGATCCCCAAACTGCAGCTGCTCCCCTCCCTAGCTCCCTTTAAACAGTTACCCCTTGGCCACCTCCCAGGTCTAAGGGTCCCAGCAACACAGCCCACCGTGGGGAGAGCAGGCCCAGAAACAGACTTTGCATCAGAGGCTGGATAATTTGAGCCCAGTGTCTGGGACCCTGGTGACAGCACTGGGTAAGACAACCTGGGGCACCAACGGAAAGCAATAGAGTACTCTTAAATGTGACCTAGCCCCAACACTCAAAGAGCTGAATTTCATTTTGGTTCATTTACATATAACTGACAACAGCCACCTGTAAAAGCATGGGTAGTTCTGGAAGCGAGGGGTATAAGCTCCAGGCAGCCACATCCTTTTGGCTCCATCAATGTGTGCCCTATGAGAAGGCACAGATGACGGCTCTCTAACCCTCATGGGCGGGGGTCCTCTTACTCAGGGTGGATTGGGGCGCTGTACAACTCTGCACCCCTAACCCTGAAACACAAGATTTTCAGTCCCTTCACTTCAATGTTTTCATCTGCAGTCGCATTCTTGCAAATGTCATAATCTCTTACCACCCAGACTCTAGTTACAAATTGCTACTCGAGAGTCTAGAGAGGCCCGAGGAGACGGCTCAACAGGTTGAGGTCAAGAACGTGCTGATCAAGTGTGAGGGCCTTCGTTTGGAAACGCACAGCCCCTGTGCAGCCGGAAGTGGTAACATGAGTTTGTAATCTTAGCGCCCATGCAGACAGGAGCCAGAATACCCCCAAGCTCCTGGGCTAGCTGGTGTGGGGTATGCAGTGGTGACAGCAAGAGAGTCTATCTCAAACTAGGTGGAAAGTGAGGATCAACAACCAAGATAGTCTTCTGACTTCCATATGTGCACACAATGGCACACGCAAGTGTATGAACGCACATGCAGGTGCACACACGCACACACCATCACCACCATAGCATATATGCACAAGCACACACACACACACACACACACACACACACACACACACACACACACACACACCAAGGTCTTCTTGATTCTATCTCATCTTCTTACTAAGTATTAACATAAAGGGAAAATCCACATCTCTCTCCCGACCTTGTCCACATATTCAGTCCTTCCTATCCGTCACTGTAACTACACCATTAAACACTAGGAGAAAGAGAAACACGAAGGAGTAAGAAGAAAAAGAGTGAGGAGAGTGGCCCCAAGCACTGCAGGCTCAGGAGGTGGAATAGAGAGCCAGGAGACTTCTACCCAGCAGAAATTAAACTAAATCTAACCCATGAAACAGCATCAAATGAAATCATTAAAGAGAGATGACACTCACCCACGCCCACATAAATTACCTAAATATCCATGGAACTGTATAGTTACTGATCAAATAAAAATATTTCAAACCTACACTAGAAATACTGGACTTCATTGTAGCCATTTACATTTAATAGAAATCCATGTCACCTATATTTATCATAGTCAACTTAGTGAACTCCAGACAATAAAACTTCTATAGTCTTCTGTGGTAATTTGAGTATCTCAACACAAGCATACATTACGTACAAAGATCTCACGCCTACGTCCGAGCTATCTGTGGTGCTGACTTTCACTGATGATTATCAGATGTACCTATTGGGAAGGTCTACTTCTTGGAGAGCTAGTTAGTTTAGGACCAGGAAACTGTTAAATGATGCAAGTATTCTCCAAAGACCTTATTATCTTAGTACTATGGGATGGCTATTACATGTTGAGATTTAAAATGGTCACAAGACTCACCAGCATAGCAACTGAATAGGCAAAGTCTGGCTCCTTCCCATTCAACAAACAGTCCTTTGACACCCCCCCCAGTGTGTGTGTGTGTGTGTGTGTGTGTGTGTGTGTGTGCGCGCGTGTGTGTGTACATGCGCGTATGTTTCCACTGGAAGTAATTTTTTCATACAATATATTCTAATCACAGTTCCTTTTCCCCCAAATCCTCCCAGATTCTCTCCACCTTCCTACCCATTCAACTCCACAACTAAATTCTCTCTTTAGAAAACAAACAGGCAAACAAACAAAAAGCACAAGAAACACACACACACACAACCCCACATAAAAACACAAAACTGGAAACCATAATATCCGAGCAAAAGAGGAAATTAAGATGCTCAAACAAAGAAATATGTGGCAAAAATGTACAAGCACTCCACAGGCTTCGTTTTGTGTCAGCCGTCTGCTGCCAGGCATGGGGCATTCAGTATGGTTTGTGTATGGGGAGAACTCCTTGGGGAAAAACTAATTTTTCCTCTTGCAAGTGGTTGTCGATTGGAACGGCCTCTGGTAGGGATGGCCCTCTTCGCCACTTTCTCCTCTCAGCACTGGGCCTGTCTGGCTTAGACCTGCGCAGGCCCTGTGCCCGCTGCCTCAGACTCCGGGATTCAGATGTGCACCAGTCCAGGGGCGCTTGGAAAGCACTGTCTTTTTGGTGTCACCCATCCTTTGGGGCTCATGCACTCTTTTGACCTTTTCCTGCACAGAGTTCCCTGACCCCGAAGGCAAGGGTTTGATGACACTTAGAACTGAGTGTATGCTTGAATTATAGCAAGTCTGGTTGTGAAGTCATGCTGAATCATGTGTAAAAGAAACCCACTGTTGTCAGCTAACAGAAGTACAGAGAACTTTTAGGACCCACTGGTTCAGGCTGCAAGGGTCATTCAGCTGCATACTGACATTATAACCCAGCATGGCGAGATGGTTCAGTCAGTAAAGCACTTGCTTTCCAAGTACAAGGACCTGACCCATGGGGGAAACATTGGACATAGCCGGACATACTTATAATTCCAGCCCTGGAGGGAGAGACATGCAGATCCCTGAGGGAAACATTGGACATAGCCGGACATACTTATAATTCCAGCCCTGGAGGGAGAGACATACAGATCCCTGAGGCTCACTAGCTATCAAATTTCGCCACTGTGAGCTCCAGGCCAATGAGACCTTGTCTCACAAAACAAGGTGGATGGCACCAAGAACAACACTCAAGAATGACATCTGGCTTCTACACACAGCACATGAGCTCCCCTCCCCAATAATGCCGAGCAGGCTGAACGAAGCGTGCTGTATTGGACAGCACTGGGGCGGGGAAGACAGGTGGACCTGAGTGACACTGACTGGCCTGCCTGACTTACTTGACAAGTTCCAGGCCAGTGGTAGTCCCTGTCTTTAAAAAAGGTGAGCAGTGTCTGAGGACACTTGAGGTTGTCCTTGGGCCGTCACATTTAAGTAGGAACATATGCACCTAAGCCCACATACAGGCACAGAGGTCATATGTGTGCACGCACACACACACACACACACACACAAGGTCACTACAAACTCGCGTAGGTATGATTTTTGACATACATCCAGACCGATATAGTAGCAATTTTGAAAGATTCTAAAAATCAAAAGAGATGATTAAAAACATTTCATTGGGATGGAGAATTTATAATTTTACACTTATTAAGACTATGCCACTTGTGTTTCTCAAGGTTAAAACAAACAAGTCTTACAAAACTAAAGCTCTAATTGATGTCTTAGTAACTCGAGTGCCAGCCTGACAAATGGCGTCACACGCTGCAGGACTCTCCACTTACCACTCCTCCAAAATATTTTCCAATGTAGAAGTCATCAAGGCTGTGGAGTTCCAGATATGTAGCTCCGAGCTCTTTGGCAAGTTGGATCCCTTCTGTGGTACTAACACAGCTCCCTCGGTCTGAGGTGCACAGGGGACATGTACAAGGTAACTCTTCTGAGGAAAGTAATGTAAAAACAAGGTGTTGTAAAATCAAACAGGAAGAACATAGGCAGTGTGAACATTAACAGATAGAGTCACTATACACTAGTCTCTCAATAAATAGTGGCTGATTTGGAAAAAAAAGTTCATAGATGAACAAGTATTGACCACAAGGAGAACAAATAATGTTTCAGAAAACAGAAGAATTTAGAGGCCACTGGGTGGCTATTACAAAGGGAGGCCGAGCAACGACACTGCCCAGGCAGGGACAGCTGACCTGAGGCAATTACACAACCCCAGTATCGCATCCTAGACCATCATCTGATCACCCACACAAAAATGTGACACAGGGGACTGGGCCTTCTCTTGTCATAAATTTTCTGTTAACTAAATCACCAAGTTGGAATGAGTCTTACTTTCATTGTGAATTTGAAAGTTGCAGATTGCCCGACTGCCGCCACCTCGTAAATCAACTGCATCCTTAATAGAATCATCTAATTCCAAAACATTCTACTCTGAAGACTTATTTTTATTCCGTGTTTGGGTGTGTTGCCTGTATGTGTGTCTGAGCACCATGTGAGTGCCAGGTGCCAATAGAGGCCAGAAGAGGCCTGGATCGCCTGGAACAGGAATCACAGACGGTTAGGAACCACCACATGGGTTCTGGGAAAGGAACCCAGGTCCTCTGGAAGAGCAGCCATCTCCCAGCCCCTAAAACATTCTACTTGAGCAACAAAATTAAATCAATCAAAATTTAAAGACCAAAAAGTATTTAACAAGCAAGCAGATGTCTTAGGACTCATGTGTGTACAACAAACATGTTTACAACAGAACATGTGAGACTTAATGGTATCTTTACGTTCTCCCTAAGGCCCAAAATACATATTCAGCTCCATAGCCATCAGCCAGCTTTGGTTTGTCTCCGGGATAAACTCCAGTCATACCATATCCAAACAGCAGCTAAGTCAAAAGAACGAGGCAGCCTCTGAGAAAGGCATGTGGCGTCTGTGGGGCACAGTTTAGGTTGGAGAACAGTGTAGGTGGTACACTGCCTGGTGACGGCCCGAGTTAGGGACAGTGACGAGACACCATGACCAAAACAACCTGGAGAGGAAAGTACTTAATTCGTTCACACCTCCATCTAACAACAGTTCATGGAAAGAAGTCGGGGCAGTAACAGAGCAGGAACCTGGAGGCAGGAGCTAATGCAGAGACCAGGGAGGATGCTGCCTGCTGGCTTGCTTCCAATGACTTTGCTCAGCCTGCTTTTTATAGAACCCAGAGATGGCACCATCCACAGTGGGCTGGGCCCTCGCCTGTCAATTGTTAATTAAGAAAATGTCCTATAGACTGGAGGCATTTTCTTAGTAGCTGTTCCCTCCTCTTGTATGACTCCATCTTGTGTCAAGGTGACAAAACTAGCCAGCAGAGACCCTGGGAGCAGCTCTCCTCAGGAGTGAGGGAAATGGGTCTGAGTACTGGGAAGACTTTGACAGCAATGTAACTGTATATGAGAATTCACCTACAGGCTCCCTGGAGGTAAGCCTTTCAAAGCTTTTTCCCATTTGAAGAAAGGCAGCTGAGCCTGTGTCCTACCCCTCCCCAGTAACTAGATGAAGGCTGCACTCATGGAGAGGACATGACCGTGGGCAAAGCAGTTCCTACCTGTGTAGCATCGGCCAACAAGCTCACAACTGAGAAAGTGATCAGAAGAGCCACAAAAAAGCGTTTGGCAACATGAAATGTTACCTAGTTACTGCACACAGATGGAGCACATATGTGTACCCAGTTACTGTGCATGGATGGACACGTGTGTAGCATTTGAGCAACTCTGCTGAGCAGCACAAAAACAGTACTGTACACGGAGCACACATGTGTATGTATAGGATGCATGCCTGTGCATAAATGAAGATCCAAAGATAAATTTTCTGGAGTCAGCTCTTTCCTTCCACCTTGTGGGCTCCAGGGACCAAACTTAGGTCCACAGTCTTGGCAGCAAAACCTCTACCAACTGAACTACATCATTTTCAAGTTCAGAAACCAAAGAGCCTTTAGTCCCAGCACTCAGGAGGCTGAGGCAAGGGGATCTCTGTGAGTTTGTCTCAAAAAACAAACAAATAAAAATAAAGTTCATAAACCATGTACTTTTATCTTCATTTTACAGAGAAGGAAATTGCAGCTCAAATCAGTGAGGTGTCTTGGCCTTGGGAAGCAGAGATAGAAAACAGAGACAAGCTGTCACTTGCTCCACCTGATGCACAAAAGTGGCACATCCAGAAACAGAGCAAAAAGTTTGAATAGAGATTAGCAGTTTCCAAAATACAGTGATAAGAAACGTAATTAAGTGTGGCTTCTTTAATCATGTCACACGCTCTAACGTGAGCATTCTTTCTCTAAGACTTTTTCAGTTTGTAGCAAGCTGTTTGTGTAGCATTAGGCTGTCTTGAGAAAGAACAATGGATCTTTCTCACTCCTTACAAGGCCTCAGTGAACAGTGCCTTGATTTTTCTAAAGACAGAGGCCTTCTTACATCCACAAAGGTCTGCCTGTGTGGCTGGAGGTGGGTGGGCAGGCAGATCACATTATGAAGCTTTACTTGTGAACAAAAAAGTAAACGAAGTTATCAGTGTCTCAAGTGGAAAATGAACCTGATGTTCAAAAATGGCTAATAAACCAACCTGAGGGAAAATAAGTTTTATTTGAAGCCACTGGAGTGAAGTTTCCATCATGTGCCTATTCTCCTTCTATTGACTCAGCAAAAAGGAAAACTGTCGTGTAACTGTCAGTAATTAGTGACATGTCCTCTGGATTTCTTCAGACCTGTTTTAGAGAAAATGTTTCCTAACTAGGTTGCTCTGAGATGCTCTTCTGAACCATTCCTGTATCTCCCCATCCCAATCAGCTGTACTTTACTTAAGAGTCCATTCAAAAGTATGTCTCGAATTGTTTGCAGGTGATTCAATAAAATATTTCTTGATTAAATACATTCTTATTAAGCATATAACTACCAGGGGATCAAAATAACATTTATTTGTTGTTTATTTTGAGATAGGGTCTAGTAGCTCCAGCTGTCCTGGAACACAGTATGTAGACCAGGCTTGCCCTGAACTCCCAGAGGCTCCAGGAATCAGAGTTAGCACTGTCTATTCCACAAGCCCCAACACACACACACACACACACACACACACACACACACACACACACACACACACATACTTTTATTATCATAAAGTGTCTATTTATTCTCTTAAACAATGTAACCCTACATTCAAACAAATGATATTTCTTTCAAAGTAGTGGCATTGATGTTGCTATTGCTTAAAGGTTTTAGAAATAGTTTTGATATAAATTCTAGCCCAGCAGCATATGAAGCCTTCAGAGTTTTAGAGATAACCTGGGGAGGGGGAGATAACTTGAAAAGCAGGGGCCCACATCCTGGAATTTAGAGTTGTGAATGTCTCCCGGGACTATTGTGCACATTTCTCCTTCAAAGATATTTTCACTGTGTACCAAGCACAAAGACTTGTGCCGGGATGCGGCTCAGTAGAGGAGAGCCCATGCTTATCCCGAGGTACCGCATCAAACCAGGCATGTAGAACACACCTATAATCCCAGTACTGGTGACACAGAGGCAAGAGGACTATAAATTCAATGTCATTTTTGTTTACACAATGAGTTCAAGATCAGTCTGGCCTACATGAGACACTGTCTCAAAAAATACAAACAGAAAGTCAAAAATTTATTCAGAGCCAAGTATGATGATATCCACATTGCCAAGTTTGTAAACAGGAAGAAGCATCTAGCCATAGGGGGTGTCAAAGTCATGGTGTTTCAGTGAGCGAGCCCTTATCTGAGCCCTATCAAGAGCTTTATAGCACTGAATTGTTTTCAGTAAACATTACACAGCTGCCTGCTCCCAGGCCGAAGGGGAAGTGGGTCTCTATTCAAGGTCTGGTGTCCCCACAATTCACCCTTTTTTTATTTTTAAATGAGGCACTCCTGGCTTAGGTCAAGTAGGGTTCCCTGGCCCGTCTTTGAAGGACCTTGAACCCCTGTCTTAGGTGGGAGGGGTCTTCCCCACAGGTTGCCCGTCAAAAGAGTGGCCCCACCCTTAGAATCATCTGTAATAAGGCAGCAAATGTGTACTGATATACACCCACACAGCAAGACCCTGTCTCCAACAAATACATGTGCACATACACACACACACACACACACACACACACACACACACTGCTCTGCTAAATACGCTCTAAGAAGATCTTCAAGAGAATTAGCAAAATTCCCCTGCTCACTGAAGTGTGTTGTGTGGATGAGGTGAAGGAGAACCCTTGAGTTAACAGCCAGATTTAGCTCTATAATTAATACGTAATCATCTGTAGTCAATTCATTTCAGGATTTTAATGAAAACTGTTTTCTTCATTTAGATGATTTTAAAAACAATTTATTCACTCACTGAAAAATGTTTATTAGTACCTATTACCAATAGGAGCAGACAGACAGAAATATGAAAGACTCCGTGACCACTGGCATCTGCAACACAGTGAATACTGAAATAGATATCCAAGGTTACCATGGGAACAGAGGAGGGGACATGACCTCAGTGTGGAGGCTGTACCCTGGTTCAAGGGTAAGGGTGAATCTGCTAAGCAGTTACAGCAGGGACTGTGCGAGGGGCACTGCAAAGTGGTGGACCACAACTGCAGCCGTAGCCACAGCAACAGAAAACACGCTTCCATTTCAAAAAAGATTTCTTTTATTTATGTGCACATGTGTGTGCGTGTGTGTGAGAGACAGAGAGAGAGAGAGAGAGCCTGTGAAACCTGGAAGAGGATGCTCGATTGCCTGGAGTTCCAAGCAGTTGTTTTGGGACTCAACCCAGATCCTCTGAAAGTGCAGCAAGTGTTTGTGACCACTGAGCCACCCCTCCAGCCCAATTCTCATTTGTAGGACATCAAGTTAAGTCTCTACCTCTGCTACCTGCCAAACCATACAAGTGACTAAATAAAAGGGAG